AAAGCTCATTTTAATTATTAAATAATACGTCAAGATACATTGTATGCGTTAGTATAAGGAATACTCATAAAAATGGAGTCAGCTAATTTGTCAATTAGCTGACAAAAAGTTGACCCGTTATTGACACTCGCTCTATCTATATAATCTAAGATCCTATTAATCTAAGATTTTATTTATTTACTTATCTATGAAATTCTTTATGCTTTAAAAATTTTGAATAAATAATTTGTAGATATTAAGCACTAGTAATATGGATACCGATCCTATATCTATATATTCCTTCGGACATTACTGACGAATTATATATATATATATATATATATATATATATATATATATATATATATATATATATATATATATATATATATATATATATATAAATATTAAATCATCGCATAAAATCGCACTAATTTTACGCTCATAGAAAACATGGCTTCCGCGATAAATCAGTTACTCCCACAATAGGCCACTTGCAATTCAAAGAAAAAGTAATAAAATATAGAAATGAAACATGACCACGCTGGCAACCCTTCCGAATGTTGTAACCTAACTTATGAATACCCGCATTACGGAAGTGTAACTCGCCAAAATTGAATATTTTTGCAGTTAATTCGCATACAAGGGTCTTACACGATCTCTGACGTTCATTTTATATTATAAAGTTAATTCATTAGCATTCTTCTTAATGAATATTTTGCCAACGAAACTGTATATTATACTCACAGAGGAATCGATAAAAAAAAATTAGCTTCCCGTTTTATGAATCTGAATTTTTTTTATACAACTTAGAATGGCAAACAAGCAGACGGCCCACCTGATGGAAAGTGGTACCGTCGCCTATAGACACGAGCAGTACCATGGACATAACAGAGTATACTGTTTCGCCCATGATACCACCCATGCGTTGCCATTCCTGAGGACTCGGGTGTTATTCCTCTGTACCCAGTAAATTCACGCCATATCCCACCCTTCAAACTGAAACACAGCCATGCAAACACAACTGCTTTACGGTTGAAACACGAATGGGACAGAAGTACCCAAGCAATCAACTTTTGTACAACGTCTCCCTCTGAATAATTGCTGTAGGCTGTATTCCTACCCTTGCTGTTTAGATTCTAATATGCTTAGCAAAATGTGGGCTTCTTGGGTATTACGTTCTCCAAAATTGTAATAGTTCCTGTAGGCATATGCTTCGGATTACCCTATTAAGGATAGATAGGTACTCTTTAATTTTCCCTCCAAAAGATAACAGTACTACTGTTATCTTTTGGAGGGAAAATTAATTTATTAAAAGGATTACGGTTGGTATCACAAAACAAATATTATTTAAGAGTCGGCACTGCCCTACTATTGGTGTATCTAGAAAATTAATCTATGCAACTGCTTAGAATTATGAATACAATAAGTTAATATATAACACAAAAAATAACAACAAAATAAATAAAAAGTCAAAACATCTCTGTTTGAAATATTCATATAGAGAGGTATCATAAACAACTTACACTTACACCGCTACTATTTATTTACAAGTAAAATTTTCAAATTTAATGAATAAATGGCTGCATATATTTAAGAAATAACGTTCTACGTTTGAAGTGACGCGAGCCTGGTCGGAAGCATTTTTTTTTCAATCGCCTTCATAAAGAAATCAGTCAGTCTCAATTCTATTGCTTTTTATGTTTGTTACCTTATAACTCTGTCATTTATTTATCATTTTTTTTTTATCTGAAAGGATATACTTACAGATTGGTCTAATAGGAATTTTATTCTAAAATTGGTTTACTATATTAGTTTTTAAATCAAAATCACCGATTTTTTCTAAAATTAATGTCGGTTCTTTGTATAGCAAATTCTAGTATATAACTTTTAAATTCACACGTAAATTTATAAAAATAAACAACCCAACAAAATGTAACAAGACGTCATCAATCAACATATTCCCCTCGAGAACTGATGACTCTATTACGTGCAATCTGACCGCCTTGATAAGTTTGCAAAACAATTTTTGCATATGTCAACTGGCTGGATGCTGGCAATAATTCAGAGCCCGCCATTTTAGCCGCCATTATCCATCATGGCGGGAATGAACTGTCAACTCGGGCTGCCAGTGGGATAGCCGCGAAACAAAATAATGTCATGGCGCTTGCATGCGCATTTTTTACCTTTATTTAATGGAAGGATTTCTGTTTCTGTTTTTGATAGAGATAGTTTCACGTTTTTGTAAGCATTATTCTTTTCTTTTAGTTAAAAATATACAATACGGAAAAAATATTTATTATTAAATTAAGAACTTAAAAAAAATTCGAATAAAATACAAAATTAAATGCCTTTCTATTATTATTCATTACATATTATAAAAATAATAATTATATAATTCCACCGCTGTCTTGTCTATATTTTCGCGATAATCACAAAAACTACTAAACGAATTTACATACGGGTTTCAATTATCAATAAAATAATTACTGACGAAGTTTTGGCTGTATAATTTATTATGGTTTTGTATAAATTGTTTGAAATATGACGACTATTGTTGATGATGTCGGAAAAAATCAAGCCATCTGCGAGTTTTCGAAAACGCTACCTAATCCGTTTGAAACAAAACAACGGTTGCTGGGACTATTACTCTTTTGTAGGTATACATAAAAGTCCGTGATGGCATATCTTTCATTTCATTCTACCTTTTAAAGATAGCTTACTATACTCAATGTATTTATACAGAAAGAATGAAAAATAATTTATATTTCATTTTATAGACGAATATAGAATTCATAGGAAATAAAATACATTAAAAATACTTTAAATAGTGTTGTAATATATTATGTTTAAATCTAAATCATGCCTAATCGACGCAATAAGCTGATGCAACAAATGCAAGTATTTTTGTTGCTTTGTGTACAGCGCCTTGTATCTATATTGTTGCTACTTGTGAAAACCTATTAGTGGCTTATTTTGTTATCCTAAAACTGTATCTATTTGCTGTAGTGTAGCCCTGGTTTTCCTATGAATAAATAAATAAATAAATATGCTCAACTATCCATGCGCAACTGAGGCGGATCGCTAGTTTAATTTAAAGTGATCCCACCTATATGATATCTAATAATTATACCATACATAGAAAAAAAATAAAAAAAATATAATAAAAACAAATAATTTACTCAAATTAAGAAACTTAGATTCTATTATAAATTTTATCGTATTGCAACAATTATATCCGACGACATGAATATTCCATTACCGAATCCCCCAAAAAAGTCATACTACACACTCGTCAATAAAAAGTCGCGGTCTGTATGCACGCAACTATGCCGTCGGCTCGGTAAATCATCCGGCACGCGCCGCGACATCCTTTCCCAATAACGCGAGCGGTGGCCGCGATTTGCCACGCTTCCGAAATGCGTTGTTTATGTGTGCACCGTGCAAAAAAGTTGACGCATGCGCGGGCAGCCTTATGACAAATTACTTGTATAAATTCAAACCTTAGATTATATAGATAGAGCACTGGGCCTCAAAAACGCGTCAACTTTTTGTCAGCCAATTGTCAAATTAGCTGACTCGTTTTTTTATCAGTGTTCTATGTACTTACGCACATAATGTACCTTGACATGTCTGACCGGATTTTGTAGGTACTTGTTATCCAAGTTACCAAAACATTGAGTTGTACTCAGATTGTCAAATGTGTTTCTTTTTTTTTTATTTTTTACTTGAAGTCTTAGATTATATAGATAGAGCATCGAGCCTCAAAAACGGGTCAACTTTTTGTCAGCTAAATGTCAAATTCAGTGTTCTACACAATGTATCTTGACGTATTATTTAATAAATAAAATAAGTAATAATAACACATTAAAAAGATGCAAAATTTATAAGACAAAATAAATATAGAAGTTACAAAGGAATCACTCATAACTATTTGTCACGTAAAATTGTATGAAAAAGTTGAGCCGCTTTTCTCGAAGCATTTGTATGGAGACACTCCATCTATGTAATCTAAGATTTCAACCTGTTTTGAATTATTATTATTATTTTTTTTTTTATTATTTTTTTTTCCAATCTTTCTAATATAATAAAATTGTAGCTTGACCATGTCTGTACATGGAAGATATTTAGGAAAAAATAATATAATGGATCTTAATAAAACCAATAGATGGCAAAACAATAATTTTGAGATTTTTTTCTTTGTACCTGTCTGTTGTATGTTTATTTCTACGTCACGCAAAAAGTACTTTTTTTTATACAACATAGAATCGCGAACAAGCTGACGGCCCACCGGATGGAAAGCGGTAACCGTCGCCTATAGACATGAGCAGTACCATGGACATAATAGAGTATTTTGTTTGTTTGTTCATGTTTCGCCTATGATACCTCCCATGCGTTGCCATTCCTGAGAACTCAGGTGTTATTCGTCTGTACCCTGTAAATTCACGCCATATCCCACCCTTCAAACCGAAACACAGCCATGTAAACACAACTGCTTCACGGTTGAAACACAAATGGGACAGAGGTACCCAAGCAATCGACTTTTGTACAAAGTCTCCTTCTGGTAGAGTGAATGAAAAAGAAACATAAATTAAAACAATAGAGAATAGAAGAGGTAAAATGCTGGGCCACCTTATACGACATGACGATTTTTTAAGAGCATAATAGAAGGAAAAATAGAAGGCAAAAGAGGAAGGGGAAGACCGAGGAATAACTACATGGGACAGGTAAAAGAAACACTGGGTGTCATGTCGTATAGGGAGGTCAAGGATATGGCCTGGGATAGAGCTGGCTGGAGAAAGATGCATGAATTAGTTGCACCGACAAGAGGAAACTCTTAAATGAAAAGAAGACGTTACTAACGTACGACTATTCCTCTACTACTTCCGATTTCACTATGTATTTTTATGAAATCCAAGCATGCTCCCAAACGTACGACTATCGACTTCCGATTTCACTATGTTTTTTTTATGAAATCCAAGCATGCTCCCAATCAATAAGTACTCTTAACTTGTCCACAGGATCGTGAGGAATAAAGCGGCGGAGAAGGCGAAGCATGCCCACAATCAACAGCAGCAGCACCAGCAGGAGCAGGAGATCAGCTCGGCGCAGGGGAGCGTCGTCTCTGTTAGTATATATTTATAATTTTTTTTATGTAACAATAGTAAATAAGCTGATAGTCCACCTGATGAAAAGTGGTAACCTATAAATATGATCAACAATGGACGTCATCGTATATTTTACACATATATCTAAAGTGGTGATCGGGGATGTAAGGTTAGTACCTTGCAAAGTTTCATTTAAATCGGTCCAACAGTTTCGTAGATTCGCCCGTACAAATAGACAGAGAAACAAAAAATTTGAAAAAATCTGGATGTATCCTATTTTACTTCTAACACTCCCCTAACTTGGTTTTTAGTGTTTTTTTTTTTATATATATACAGACATTCGACCTGTACAGTTTTATTATATGTATAGATAGATAATAAATGCGAAATTTTGTAACTATGGATGGAAATTTATTATTGTTTCGCGTAAAAACAAATGAAAAAATTTGAATGAAAGTTGATATACGCTTAGGTTATGTCCTAACTTAGCAAATAGGATACTCTATATATTGTTGAACACGAGTGAAACCGTGGGTTATAGCTAGTGAATAAATAAAATAAATAAATGATCACCTTTAATACTTTTCCAATGTATCTTTTTTTATGGACGATAATGGAATGGTAACCCCGCCTACGCTTCCGGTAACACTGGCGGGGCACCAGTGAGTGATGACTGGTAAGGATGAACAGGCAAGTCAGTTAGCGCATGACGAATTCAAGGATATATTAGTCACGATGGTTTCCAGGGAAAACCGCGTGGAGGTCGACCTGATAGGGTATATTGATAGCAATAGCGGCTTACCACCCGATTACTAACAATCCCTCCCCCCTTTCCAATGTATCGCAGGTGATAACGCACGCGGGCAACGCGCCCGGCACGACCGCCGTGCTGTCCCCGAGCACGGAGCAGCATGTCACCAACACGGGCAGCTATAGTATAAACGGCATCCTCGGCATCGAGCAGGTGGACGGGCTGCACAACGGCAACGCGACTGGCCTCAAGAGGAAACGCCACGAAGACCAAGGTGAGAGAAAAATGGACGACTTTAAAAGGTCTTAGGCATACTAAAATGTTTTTAAACGATAATGCTGAGGGATGGGATAAACTCATCTACAACAGTGGCAGACAACAGGCATGACTCATTATGGGTGCCTTAACTGGACATATGCCAATAAGGCATATACTAGACAAGATGGGTCTATCTTCGGACACACTGTGCAGACTGTGCGGGGAGAAATCGGAATCCATCGAACACTTGATGTGCAACTGCGATTCGTTGGCAAGTATGCGTATGAGTCTACTGGGAACAACTTATCCAGAGCCAGGGGACTACAGATATCTTAGACCGTAGGATATCGTTAAGGTAACAAATAGAATTTATGAAATGATGGTATAAGGCAGGGGGAAAAACAAAAGATTCCGATGGGTCGACGTGCAATGGCTTAGCTGACCCCATATGCGAAAATAAGATAAGATAAGGTGAGAGATGACCATCCTTGCACATATGTATGTATGTATGTATATATATATATATATACATATATATATATATATATATATATATATATATATAAACAAAACAGTATATATATATATATATATATATACTGTTTTGTTTTTCTGTTTATTTGCCCATCACGTTGCACCGTCAATTATATCTTCTGTTATTCCTGACTCTACAGTTAGCATGGGAGATACTGCATTGTCTTATGGTGTAAATTACGCCATTTACACTATCTAGGTCTGTTAAAGTTTAATATATAAATAAAAGCTAGTAATAAATAAATAAATGAAACAAACATAAACAGTCGATTCTTTTTGCCAATTCATCTCGTCTGAATGTTTAAAAGTCTTCTGATTGGGCACCTTCATCCCATTCGTGTTTCTCTTTTGAAGTACTTACATATATTATCACGTAATCGAATCATGGATAGTAGAAATTTAAACATGAAATCTGAAATCACTGTGTGCTCTGTGACGTCCACTGTGTCAAGTCCAAAGGCGACGATTAAACAAACAAATAAAACATGGCTTTCATTTCTTCACATAATTTTTTCATATAAAGATAAACGGTTACTTAGTAACTTCACAGTTCTAAGCGCGTGAAGAACAAACATTATAAGTTAGTGACAATAACTTCGATTGTAAAAGCTTACAACACTATTTAACCATTATCGCGGTTAATTGCTTCATAAAATTAAACTTTAGCCCCTTAATCCTTTAGTCCTGAGTACGTCCCGCCGGGGCCCTAGCTCGATAAACTCTTTCTATGTAGACAGTGTTAAGAAAACTTGTAAGTAATGTTACAGTACTTGAGGGGGCCCTGTAGAGACGTCTGTGCCCCTAAAAGAGTCTAGTGATGTAAAGTGTCGACAATTTTATCGATAATTAAATTATATTTGAGTGTATATCCAGATTTGAATTTTAGGATTTATTTTAAAACTCGTAGTAGAGAATGATAGATAAAAACGATGTTGATAAAGATGTAAGAAAAAGAATAAAACAATCTCAAGTACGAAATATTAAAACAATTTGAACTACTCCTCAATAAAATATAGCGGTCGAAAGATAAAAAATAACCGCTCTTCACATAAATTGCGCGGTTATTTCCTAAATGTCATTTGTAAAGACTTTTTTCCATATCGATCTATGTTTTTGAGATATAATTGTGTATATTCATGTACTCGATCGTTGGATTTCAAATTACATTTTCATCAACAATACGTTACATTCTGTATTTTCGGAGAAATACAACACGGTATCTTTCAAGTCAATACTGAATAAGTATTTTCTGGGTAAATGTGCTTCATCCTACATTTACTCATCACTTGATAGTGAGATAATATCAAGCGTAAACCGATCTTGTCATGAAGGTACGGAGCGACGGACAAATGACTCGCGGCCCGCCGGACGCCGACCGCCGATACATTTCATTCATCACCGTAGCAAGTGCACGCGCGTAATTTTAATTTATTTTCAATTAGCGTTTTGTATTACTCACTTTTAATAATAAATAATTTTTATTCGAGTAAACTTAATAATAAGCATTTTTGAACGGTCACGTTTTTTTATAAATCTACCGCCCAATTCGAAATGCTATTTCAGATGAGAAGAACGGGCAAGAAACATAGCTGTTTGCTTGTATATTTTTTTTTATATATATAAAAAAACTATGTACGAATAAAGTGATAATCACAATTTTCATATCGATAAAAGAAAGAAAATAAAAAGCTACAAAACAAACAATAGAATCATAGTATTCTTGAAAACACTAGTCCCTACTAGAAACACCCGTCTAATGACGACTGCAATGTCTGGTAATTAACCAATTTTAAAAATTGCCCACTCATTGATTGCACTCCCTAATATGGTAACATTAATATTTGTTGATATTGACACGATGGGACATTTGACCTGCTCCATCCTCACATACCATTCCTCACCAGTACCTCACTAGTGTATACCAATAGCGCAGGCGGAATCGCTATTTCTTTTTCAAAAAACGCCAAAATTATCGATATCGATAAGTTTGTAAATACAACGGCCAACACTAGTCTTCCAAGCGGCTGCCCAGTGTGCGGAACCACCAAGATTTACTGAGCTATTAAATTTACTGCACTAACTCTCGCTTTATTATTATAACTTTTCGAAAATTCCACTTTTCGTCCTATAATTTTAAGTTATACAGCCTATTGTTTATTCAGCTGTATCGTTTCTCATTGTTCAAGTACTTGTCTTTACCCGTGACTTCGTCTTCGTGACCGGGTTATAGTGATTGACCGGGATAACAGTACCCTATACTTTTAAAAATACGCTGCATAGCCCCGACATAGAAAAACACCAGAGGGAGACTTTGTACAAAAGTCGATTGCTTGGGTACCTCTGTCCTATTCGTGTTTCTACCGTGAAGCATTTGTGTTTGCATGGGTGGGATACAGGGTACAGAGGAATAACACCTGAGTCCTCAGGAATGGCAACACATGGGCGAAACAGTATACTCTGTTATGTCCATGGTACTGATCATGTCTAAAGGCGACGGTTACCACTTTCCATCAGGTGGGCCGTTAGCTTGTTTGCCATTCTAAGTCGTATAAAAAAAAATATTATACCAAGATATTTTTTTTATAGATGAGAACAGAGACTTCAATAGCCATTCAGAAGACGACGTGAAAAGACAACGAAGTCACTACAATGGGGACCAAATATACTCAAATGTAAGTATTATATACATATATTTTTTATCGATCTACCTTATAGTAAGTGGTAACAATCAGCTATAAACATGAACAGTATCTTCGATTTAAATATACTGTGATTCCCTTGATACTCCTCATGCGTTGTATGCATAAACCTTCAGGAAGCTTAAAAAACTGTATAATAAAAATTACAAAAGTTGGTTGATCCGTATTTTGTAAAAAAAATTATAACACTATAAATATATAATGAAATATTCATCAAGGTCATCAAAGATGAGGTCAAGGTCATATACTTTAGCATTTCCTTTCCTTTAAATAGATGAGAGAACAAAATTGATTTAATTTAATATCCATAACATATATATTGAATAATAATACGATTTTTTTGTCTATGGTATGCGCACTTACTAATGTTAATTTATCAACATTATGTGTTGAATCACATTAATAATTCCATTAAAAGCTGGTAATACCACAACCTAAACCACAGGTGAAAGGTAACCTGTTAACCGAAACAAAACCCGCTCATTAGTTGAGCGATTAATGAAAACAGATGTAATCCGGCGCGAATTGGCGCGTAAACTCAGCCGCCATCTTGTTCGGCTGACGGATGGCATGGCGGGTTTACGACGTTACTTCCGACCGCCATTATGTACGTGAAAAGAGGTTGAGAGAAATATAGCTGGTTGGAAAATATATACGTCAGTTGTTTTGTTTTTAAAGTTTTAATATAATGAAATTCTAATATTCATGTCAAATCAAAAATGCTAGTCTTTATTAACAAGAAATATGAGCAAAATGTTTACAGTTGTATGGAAACGCTATCATAAACTGCGTGATATTTAAAATGTGCATAGAAATGCACAGGATTCTTCAAAAAAAGAATGAAGAGGTACCTTTAGAGTCGGCAACGCGCGCGTAATACCCATGGTATTGCAAGCGTTTATAAATTACCGGTAACCGCTTACCATCAGGAGGGCCGTATATTTATTTGCCACTTTAGTGGTATAAAAAAAAAGAAATATAAAAAAAAACGGACAGTTGATAGAAATCTCCATACAATTTGCACACATTTTGCTGTCCTATTATATCGTGACGGTAAAATCATACGGTATAATGCAGTGTTACGGTAAAAAGAAAATTAAGTTACGGTTAAAAGAAATTAAAATGCATTGCGCAGAAACGTTGCGTCTCTTTGCGTCTTTTATCGCATATGTCATGGGGAGAGCTCAAAGGAATTGTTCGGATTAAAACCAGCTGCTGAATTTCATCATCGTACAGTCCACCACATGCTAAATTTCCATCCCGACCATCTGTATAAATGACGGTTCTCCACCATACGTTTCTGTTCATTGTCTTCCATGCATAATCAAAGGTTTTTTGATGCGTGAAAATGGTATGGTGACCCCGCCTGCGCTAACGGGATACGCTGACAGAGCACCAGTGAAGGGTGATAGATGAGAATGAAAACAGGCCAGTTAGCCCATCATGATGAATTCATCAGGAATTAACCATGATAGTTTCCAGGGAGAACTGCGAGGAGGTCGATCTGGTTGGGTATATTGATAGCAATAGGATTCTCAGTCTCCATTACTAACAATACCTTTCCCCCCATAAGCAAAGGTTAGAACCATCTAGCAGCAAGGGGCAAAGGGATTGTTAGTACTAGTTCCATTGCTAACAATGTACTCTGTTACCTGGTCTGGTCGAGCTGAACTGACTGACAATTAACACGGAGTACGTTTTCAGCTTTGGTCATCATCTAAATGGAGTCTCAAAGACGAGTACAAGCTGCTGTCTGAGCTGGGAGGTGCCACGGGCGGCGCCACCGGGTACTACGGGGACCTGTTCGACGCGCCGTACGAACACGCGGCGCATCCACACTACACGCCTCATTCCGGTGAGTACCTTCGCATCATCACCATCACTTGATGTACATAATTCCTTTCTCACTTTAATAATTTGCTTGAGGTTAGTTACAAATTTTATATGATATAAAAAATATTGTAAACCGTTTTTTTATTTGTAATGTTACTCGTTTTTTTTTTTTTTTTTAGTACGTTTGTTCCGTTTGGAACAGGCTAAGGTCGGAGACCATGCTGCCTAGTCTTCAAAAAGATAATTTGTCTGGAATGTAATGTTACTCGTCTGAACTGCCAATTGTCAGTGGCTATGAAATATAGTGTTGCGTTTCGTTATTGCTATTCTGGATTGCGTACCCACTATTTTCAATTTATGCTGTAAATTTTCATATATACTATATTTATTTCGTATATGCTGTAAATGTAATACGTTTCTTTCTTTTTTAATATCTTTTTTTTTTGTGTGATTTTTTTTTGTAGTAAGTATGAACTTGACTCATTGCGTCAACCTATGCAGTAATTAAGCAATTTTTTTTTATTTATTATTGCAGATATATTTAGTAAAATAATATATATTTACTAATATTTATTTATTAATATATTGTTATTTTTATACATTTAGCAAGTATTTATGAATATACATGACGATTACTTTTCTTGTTCTTCCTCTGATGATTTTGATACTGTATCTAGTCATGACTCTTCGTTATGTGATAGTGACCCTCTTGAAAATAAATTGCGTATTGCCTTTAATGACCATTCCAAATTCCTTTCCCTAGTGCATATTAACGCTCAGAGTATTATAGCTCATTACACTGATATTCTCACATCCTTCAGCGCTGGCATAGTTGATTGTATACTTGTATCCGAAACATGGCTAAAACCCTCACTACCATCTGTCAGTTGTGCCATTCCGGGATACAAATTCTTTCGCAATGATCGGACACCTACAGGTGGAGGTGGAGTAGGGATCTACCTTCGCAATCACATTGCTGCGAATGTGGTTTGCGCATCTCAGTCAGAATATAGTGGTTCTCTCGAATACTTGTTTCTTTCTTTGGAAATTCACCATAAAAAGATCTTACTTGGTGTTTTGTATTGTCCTTCCAACAGGATTGATTACTTTGACACCTTAGAGCATCTACTAGAAAATTTAGTGACTCAGTATGATCATGTCATTCTTATGGGAGATTTAAATACCTGCTTGTTGAGGGATGACAACAGAGCGAGTAAACTTAAGAGATTAACTACTGCGCTAAATCTTCAAATACTGACATTGCCAAATCCGACACATTATTTCCCTAACAGTAACCCTTCCTTTATTGATCTCATGATTGTTTCTGATCCCTATATGGCCATTTATCATGGGCAAATGTGCTCTCCTTTCTCTTATCACGATCTAGTATATCTTTCTTATAACGCCCTCCTAAGACTAAAGGCAAGGTTCGTCTGACTTTCAGCATATGGATTTGAGTCGTTTGAGAGAGGATGTGAGACGCATGGATTGGTCGAGTTTGCTCTCGGCTGATAGCGTAGACATGATGGTAGAGATCTTAAATCTGGAATTACTGAAACTGTATGATGCTCATGCTCCAGTTCGTCCTGTTCGTATTAGGCATGCAGGCTCCGTGGCTATCCCCAGTAATTAGAAGAACTATGGCTAAGCGGGATAGATGAGCACGATAAATCTCAGGTTAATTTCGGAGCTTATAAGAAACTACGTAACATCTGCAACAGAATGTGTAGGGATGCCAAACGTCGCTATATCCATTCTACCATTCAAAACCTTTCCCAGCCAGTCTGGAAATTTCTGCAATCTTTAGGCATAGGCAAATCCTCTAATCAATCTCTTAACAACTTGGACCTTAATGGTTTGAATACTCACTTTTCCACTCCTCCCTCTTCTTTAAGTAATTCTGTTAAGGTCAACTCTCTTTTATATCTTTCTAATGCCGAAGTGCCTGATTGCTCTCCTTTTACTTTCCGTATGGTGTCCACAGACGCTGTCAGAAAGATTATCTGTTCCATATCTACCAAAGCCATTGGCAGTGACAACTTAAGCCTCGATATGATTCTGCCTGTGTTGGATGAGATATTGCAATTACACACATTATAAATTACTCGCTGAAATGCAATGTTTTCCCAATACAGTGGAAAAAGGCTTTTATTATTCCAATTCCCAAAACTCCGAATCCGACCAGCTTCTCCCAATTCCGCCCCATATCCATTCTCCCCATTCTCTCTAAGGTCCTTGAATCAGTAGTTCACAATCAATTACATCAGTATCTCACGGTCAATCACCTGTTATGCCCTTTCCAATCAGGTTTCCGTCCTTCCCATAGCACTACTGGAGCACTACTTAATATCACTGAGGACATTCGGCGAGCCATGGAGGACACCAATCTCACAGCTATTGTTCTTCTTGACTTTACTAGTGCCTTTAACTCAGTAGATTTTGACATTTTGCTTGCCGTGCTACGAGCAATAAACGTATCCTCTTCTGCTATTGAATGGTTTTCTTCCTATCTTTTCGGTCGCCGGCAGTGTGTAAGAGCCAATGATGCTTCATCGGATTGGTCTTCGCTCACTGCCGGTGTTCAAGGTGGCGTGCTTTCTCCTACTTTTTTCAATTTTTATAAACAATATCTCTCGTTATATTAATTCTCCCTACCATCTGTATGCGGATGAATCTACAACTCTACAGACACTCGCATTGCCTGGATTGTCTGATGCCATTGCTGCCTTAAATACTGATTTATGTGCAATACAATCGTGGGCTGATACATTTGGACTTCTCATAATCCTATTAAATCACAAGCCATCATTATTGGCAGCAGCAGGATGAGATGCAAGTTGAATCCGAGATACTTTATTATGATGGAGTTCCAGTGGCTCATTGGTCTCATAATGGACGGCACTTTGTCTTGGGCATGTCATATAAATGAACTCAGTAAACGCATGTACTTTTCATTTCACTCTCTCAAGCGACTCCAATAAAACACAAAAATTATGCTCGCACAATCTCTACAATGCCGACGTCTGTTTTTTGGATGTGACTGAGGAGCTAAACAAGCTGGAACGTTTACAAAACCTAGCTATTAGGTTCATCTTTGGTCTTCGTAAATACGATCACGTGTCTGCCTTTCGCAACCAGTTAAAGTGGCTCCCTATCCGACTTCGACGTGATATGCACATCCTTTCTTTCCTTTATAACATACTCAATAACCCCAATTCTCCATCGTACCTCCGCTCCCGGTTTAAATTATTACCACCACCAGTCCGTCCTAAACGCTCCTGTCAACTGCAATCCAGGATGCGCTTCCTGTGTGTAGGACACACTTTATGGGCAACTCTTTCTCGTATCGAGCTGTCCAGTTATGGAACAAACTCCCTTCCCAAATACAAGAGAGTCCTCTATTACCTCTTTCAAGAAGAGGTTAAAATCACATTTTCTTTCCCTTGAGTAATATATTTTTTTTTTGTATTTTTCTAATTGAACTCTCAAATCTTAAAATCATTAAACGAAATTTCTAATGTATGTAGTATATTAATTTATTTTAACATATACTATATAAGTAGGTAGGTATTGTATATATTTATAGTGTATGTATTTATGTAATATTTTATTATATATTTTAATATTTTATTTAACTGTATATCTGTTTATGTATTAATAGTTGTAGCACTTCAGCTGTCCGCTAACGAAATGCTTTCTTACTGTACTGGGTTGACTGGAAGAGATCTCTGTCAGAGATAAGTCCACCCTTGCTCACAACATTTATAAATAGATTATTTTATATGTAACTTACAAGTGCAATAAAGAATATATATATATATATATATATATATATATATAATTATTATCAGCATCATTCAATTTACACTATCGTCATTCTATACCAGAGAGAGACTTTGTACTCGACTTTCTTCGTTTGCTTGGCCACCTCCGTCCTCATTCGTGTTTCAACCGTAAAGCAGTTGTGTTTGCATGGCTGTGTTTCGGTTTGAAGGGTGGGATATGGCGTGAATTTACTGGGTACAGAGGAATAACACCTGAGTCCTCAGGAATGGCAACGCATAGGGGGTATCATGGGCGAAACAGTATACTCTGTTATGTCCATGGTACTGCTCATGTCTATAGCCGACGATTACCACTTTCGATCAGGTGGGCCGTCAGCTTGTTTGCCATTCTAAGTTGTATAAAAAAATCTTTATCATCACTACTGTATCATTATTTTCTTCATCATCATCATCATCATCTTGTCAGTACTAACAGGTCATTAATGACCTTGGTGGTATAAGTCTAAAACTGTCATTGCGTGTTATATCTATGGAATAGTGGTTTTATTGGAATAGTAACCCCCCTCCTGCGCTATCGGTATACGCTAACGGGGCACCAGTGAGAGACGATATATGAGAATGATGATTAAAGATTGTGTTCCATAAAAAAAAAATTTCAATCGTGTAAAATCAATTATTTTGATCTAAAAACTAAACTATTTTTCTTTTTCATTTAAGAGTTTCCACTTGTCGGTGCAACTAATTCATGCATCTTCCTCCAGCCAGTTCTATCTCAGGCCATATCCTTGATCTCCCTATACGACATAACACAGTGTTTCCTTTATCTGTCCCATGTTCCTCATTCTTCCTCTTAAACTAAACTACTGCACAGATTTTGATAAAATTTCTATGACACTAATCTGTAAGTATATCCTTTCAGATAAAGAAATAATTTTCCAAATCGGTTTACAAGTGACGGAATTATGAGGTAACAAACATAAAAAATACAATCGAATTGAAAACTTCTTTCATTTTGAAGTTTTTCAAAATTCAAATTCAAAATATCTGTATTCATGTAGGTCTATTCCAGACACTTATGATATGTCAAATCTACCGTCAGTTCGGAATGATTTCGAGATGAGAAAAGAACTAACAAGAAACACAGCTCGTATTCTTTTCAAATAAATTTTATACCTACATGTATAAAATAATACAGATTAATTTTTAAATTCAAAGTCCATTGAAAAGCTCAATTAGCGCATAGAGATGAATTGACCTTGAATTAGACACGATGGTTTCCACGGGGGCACGTGTGAAGGTCACCATGTCAAAGTATATAGCTATATATATAGTCACTTATCACCAGGTGAGCCGCATGCTCGTTTGCCCCCTGTGTTGAAAAAAAAATTGCTAGCAATGGGGAATCGCAGTCTCATTACCAACAATCCCTTTCCCCCTGTCATGTCTAATGAGACTACAGATTTAACATAGACTAAACATAACGTCCCTTCCTTTTCCATAGGTGTCGTAAGAGGCGACTAAGAAAGTTTAACAGTCGAAAAATAGGCAGCATTGTCCTTTTTAAAACACCACCAAAAGTTTAACTGTAGTTGCCAATCCGCCTGACAAACATGGCAGTTACTGGCAAAACTCCTTTTATTGGGAAAGGCCTATGTTCAGCAGTGGACAGTTAACGGCTGACGTGATGATAATATATTTTTTTTATACAACTTAGTATGGCAAACAAGCTGACGGCCCACCTGATGGAAAGTGGTAACCGTCGCCTATAGACGTGAGCAGTACCATGGCCATAACAGAGTATACTGTTTCGCTCATGATACCCCCCATGCGTTGCCATTCCTGAGGACTCAAGTGTTATTCCTCTGTACCCAGTAAATTCACGCCATATACCACCCTTCAAACCGAAACACAGCCATGCAAACACAACTGCTTCACGGTTGAAACACGAATGGGACAGAGGTACCCGCAATCGACTTTTGTACAAAGTATAAAGTATAATACCTGCTTAATCTTTGCATGTCTCTGGTGAATGACAAATGATGCTTACAGCGTAGACCGCAATAAAACATCACCACAACAACTTGGGGAATCTGGGAAACAGTTAGCTCGCCGGTGCACTATGCCAGCGGTAGGGCATGTCACCGCAAGTTTTCAGGGCGTGTCTAATAATGGTCTGATGCCACTTACTGGAATGTGCCGTATCCGTTAGTTTTGTCACGAGTCGACTTGGAAAGGTCATGATTGTTGTTTGACTTCAAGGGATAAGAACGTAGTGTTTTTATTTATTGACTTTTTTTATTTGGGCGTGTATGTTAGGGTCTTGAGCCAATGTTTTTGGACAACATGCTCTGCAAAATGAAGTTCTCCATTTGTCTCATTTTTAGCTGACTTCAAAAACGAACGAGGTCCTCATTTTAATTGTATTTTTTTATGGTTGTTACCCCATAGCTTTGTCGTTTATAAACCTATTTGGGATTGTTTTTATCTGAATGGCCTATGTTTAGCAGTGAACAGTTAAAGACTGATGTGAGGATGATGATGATGATGATGATGATGATGATATAAAATATCGTGCAATTCATCAGTCTATGTTTACTCACAAACCCTTATTTGCAAATTGTACATATTTTCTAAGCATTTGTAGAATAAAACTAAATTTATTAACTCGAAGACAGTCAGACGGAAAATTAAAGTGAATCATACAAACACCCAAAACAGTATACCCTCCTTTTTGTGAGTGTCGGTCAAAGTGATCAGCAAATCAATAAAATCATTGTAAATTCCCATGTGATAACAAAACAAACAAAAAACCATTCGGCGGTCATTATGAGATTGATAACCACAAAATGGTTTGTGGTCGGATGCCGGCGATCTGGCCGCATGGGAAGCTAGATTTGTTACTATATATTTTTTTTATTTAACTAATAAAAATGAATCTGTCGGATTGTATATGTATGTCGCAATAGGTGTTGGTACGAATGGGTGATATCTGATATTGTGAAAATCCGATAGTGACAAAATTGTCATTGGCAATAAATTGGATTGATACATAAATTGGATACGTACTTGCTTTGTATGCTACTGTGTGAGTGGCATGATTCTTTGAATAAATTATTTCTTTCTTTCTTCCTATATCTATATATTCTTCTATATATTGTTGACCACCCATATCGATATCGTCAATACCAGTCCGATATCTATTATTCATTACGAGCGGGTACCTTTTTAGATATTATGTATTACATAACCGATATTTGATATATCTATTATTGGGCCAATATATGTATACATATTGTAGGTACAATATATAGATATTGGTATATATATACACACCTTTAGCTATTAGATGATCCCGGATACAGAAATACAGTATATGACAATCGGAACATTAAATAAATTAATTTGACCTGGTTTTAAACTATATCTACCCTAGATAGTGGAGGCAATATCCCCAGGAGTAGAAGACTAGCAACTTCATTTTTAATCAATTACTTATCTAATATGTTATTAATAATCAATTATTGGTTTTATACATGCATAAAACCAATAATTATTAGTGCAATGTTTGTAACATATCTGTAATGCAGTGTAACAGCCTTACCAAAATAATATATTTAACTAATGTTAGTAATCCTAAACATATAAATACATAATCTCAGTTAAATTTTTAGAGGAGAGCACGTAGAGGTCGACCTGACAGAGTAGTTAAAAACTTGTATATCTCATCTATTAAGTAAGATTCTCAGAAGTTCCCTCGAAGTAAAGGATAAAAGACACCGCATAAAGTCAAGGAAAAAGGCCAGTTCACGTCTTCAATGAAACTAAAAACTCATTCACATCTTGTATCTCGAACAAATCCCACCGGACTGACCACATCCTCCCTGTGAATGGACCTCAGTCTCCCCTCCCAGTAACACGATGCGCCGGCGCACGTAACGCGATCCGTGGGTCACCTGACTAGATCACATGCTATTGTGATACCTGTACGGGTCGTTGACTCTGCACCAAACAAATGTTTTGTGGTTTTTATGACGAGTACCATTTCATTTGAAAATCTTCCGCTTATTGGCTCATATTTTGAATATGACAAGTACATTTTATTTCATAAATGATCAAGATTGTGTTCCCCAAAAAAAACCGACTTCAATTGTGGAAAAACCGGTTACTTTGTTTTTAAAACGAAGCTACTGGACAAATTTTGATAAAACTTCCGTGGGACCGTTCTTTAATATACTTTATTCAGTCGATCTCCACACGGTTCTCTTTGGAAACCATCGCTCTTAATTTTTGGTTCATTCATTACGATGGGCTAACTAACCTGCCTACTTCATCTTCACCTATCATCCCTCACTGGTGCTCCGCCAGCGTATACCGTTAGCTCAAACGGGGTTATCAGCCGTTGATTCAGATATCAGGGGTTTCTAGACTCTATTGCTAACAATCCCTTTCCTCCCAAACAGTACTGTTCCGCTGTACGCAATCATGAAACTAATACTTCAGATTTTACAGCAACGAACGACTCAACGGGATCGAACGGCGGTGCTGGTGGGGAGCCACCATCAGCCGCCGCCAGTCCGGACGCTGCCGCCCTGGTCGTGTTACAACCACCGGCGCCGCCATACCCGCCTTATGCACATTATGATGGTAAGTTGTTTATTTTTTTTTTTTACACAGGGAGCAAACGATCGCATGCTCGTTTACTTTACCTTACATCGGGTGAGCCGTAAGGCTCACCTGATGATAAACGACTACCGCCGTCCATGAGCACTCACAATACCAAAGTATTTGCAGATGTGCTGCCGGCCTTTTTTCAGTAACACTAATTATTGGTATATAAATGTCATATTTTAATAACATTTCTATAAAATTGTTTTATTTATTGCAACTTTGTGAGTTTTTTTTTGGAAATTAACCACAATAGTTTCCATTGGAGACTGCATGGAGATCGAGAATGTACCTCGTTCGAAGATTTTGATGTATAGTTCTATTCTTGTGCCGATTTTTTGGGTATTTAAATCAACTAGTTAAAAAACACCACGCTATTTTCTGCACTTTATATCATGATGCAGGTGATAGTTGAAATTTTGACAGTTTCTATTGTTTAAAACCTTTTTTTTATACTACGAACGTGGCAAATAAGCATACAACCCGTCTTATGATAAACGGTCGCTGTACCTAACTATTACCTGTACTGAATTGCATTGTTTGTATTACAGTCAATCTAATAATTGATAATTTACATAAATAAATGATGTTTTTTTTAATGGATAATAATGGAATGGTAACCCCACCCGTGCTATCGGTATACACCGGCGGGGCACCAGTGAAGGATGATAGATGAGGATGTAGCAAGTCAGTTAGCCCATCGTGACGAATTCAATAAGAATTGTTCACGATGGTTTCCAGGGGGAACCACGTGGAGGTCGACCTAATAGGGTATATTGCTAACAATAAGGGTGTCAATCTCCATTCCTAACAATCCCTTTTCCCCCTAAAATGATGTATTGAATCCGTAAGTTTTGTCAATGATCTACTATAGTTTTGGTATTTTAAAAACCCTATCGTACTATAAAGTGCAGAGTAAAGCGTAAAAAATTTATTAATGTTTTGTGTAAGAAAGTTAAAATAAATTCTCAGGAAAAAAATCGTATAAGGGGATAGGATAAGTCACTAAGTGGTAAGTTCATTAAATTTCCGTTCTTCATAGCATTTGTATATTATAAACAGTGTCAGGAACATTATAATTTATATGCTATTACTTAGCTATATTAAAAAACTAAACAAAAAGGTATCATTGTAAAAAAAAAAATATTTTCCGTCTTTAGTCAAAGATTTAAATTGAAATACATCCATTCACAAGTTACGGACGTAATAAAGAGATCACAATATGACCCTCGCCGAGATAAAACAATGAGCGGATAAGAAAAGAAAAGAAAAAAAAAACAAAAGTGGCCGAACAGAAAAACAGCTGAAGAATCACGCTGAAAAAACGGCAATGACTTTAGGAAAGCTTTCGACAAAGTCGAGCACGCCACTCCGAGGCACTCTGAGGGAAATCTAATTTTCTCCTCGGACCCCGTCTCTCCCACTGTTATAACATCATAAAATTCATACAGTACCACAGAGTTTTCGCACTTATGCATATCAAAGGGAGATACTAAAATGGTGTACCGCAGGGATCGCGCTCGGGGACGCAACTTCTCTTTATGCTTTTGGTCTTTAATCTACCGCAATCTGCTTATCCCGGACGGGTGCAGGGTGAGAGGGGGGGTGAGCAGACATCTTTAATAGCTCATTCGGGGCTCTATGCAAATAATTTTAGTGGGGGGAGGGTGGGAAATCATACGGGCTTTGTCTGGGACGGGTAACGAAGCGAAACACGAGTCTGTGATGCGACAGAAGTGGCTCTGAGTACTTCAAACGGGTTTGTAGGCTTATTTCGGTTATAAATATTAAACTGTCACTCTTTGGGGGCGCGGGAGGGGTATTTGAGAGTGGTTACGCGTATAAAGCTTGTTATATTGCGTGCGAGGGGCGTCGTTATGTACGAATTTTATCTACCCGACCTTGTGAGGCGTGTCGGCGCTAGATCTTTAATAGTACCTTTTAAATGCAATCCCATTAAAATATACCATATTTATGACTACGTATTCTATATAATTACTTAAAGGAACGTCTTATTCTTGAATAACAGTTGATGTTTATATTACAATGTCGGTAAGGTAGAAAAAACTAGGAAAAAATGAAAATATTGTTATCCCAAAACTGTCACTCAGCTGTAGCCTATTTGGGTCGCTGCGACACACATGGCGGAAACATATTTTCGTGTTTTATTTTTTATTTATTTATTTTTATTAATTCTTTATTGTACACACTAGTTATAAGAATAAGACAGAGGTAAACAAAAGTACAAAAGCGAGCTTAACTCTGATAGAGTTTTCTTCCAGCAACACCCAAAGTGGAAAGGAGCATCAATGTCAGCGGATACAGCAGTGTGTATTGTGACAATTTTTAAACAGACAAAATTAAATTAATTGCATTATATTTAATCGTATCTATTATATTTTATGTTTTGTTTTATATTTAAAAAATAGTGTATAATTAATTTAATTGTATCACTTCTATATTTTAATCACCTCTTAAAACACCCACGGGAAAGAAATAGGTGGTTTAGTCTATGCCGGGACCACATGGCAACAATGTATAGGTATATATTAAGTAACATATGCGTATGTGTGAAATCGCCTTTTTATTATGAATTTATTTACGTAATTAATTAATAAAATTTAAATAAATAAATAAATTTGATTATGTAGAAAGATTATAGGTAAATTATTAAAATATATATTTTTTTTTATATTTTAATATTATTATGTCTATATTATATACTGCAAATCAATACTTATAATAAATCTGTAGAGAGGTCAATTCTGTACATGAAATATATTTCCAAAATAACTATCACACCCTGGTGTGATTAGTGATCGATACTGATGCCAAAAATGCAATCAGTAAAAATTTTGTCTGTCTGTCTGTATGTTCGTTATAGAAACAAAAACTACTCGACGGATTTTAACGAAACTTGGTACAATTATTCTTCATGCTCCTGGACAGGTTATAGTATACTTTTCATCACGCTACGATCAATAGGAGCAGAGTAGTGAAGGGAAATGTTAAAAATGTCCACCCGTGCGACGCCGGGACGGGCCGCTAGTATGTAATAAACTGCTGAATGAAATGAAACTAACCATAAATAAATTGTTTAAATAAAAATGGAGTCGTTTTGAAAAAAAAAACTGTTATTTCTTGTATGGATATTCTTAAACAAAATCTATCTATTTATCAAATAGAAATTCAAGCCATATTTATTCAAACAGTCTTTTTACAAGCACTTTTAAATCGTATTTTTTTTTTAATCTACTGCAAGCTTCGAAAACTTGTTATCTGTTGTGAAGAGCCCGCGAGAAACTCAACAGTTCAACTCTTTTAAATCTCTGTTAACATTATGTGTATTTATTTAAATGTACTATGTGTAAAATTAATCTTTGCAGGTACCACGACGTTGGCGAGCGAGTATGCATACGCGGCGCCGTACTCGCAGTACTCACCATACGGCGGGCCGTACTCGCACTCAGCCGCCACGGGGCTGCTCTCCAAGTGGTGAGTACCTATTTGATAACAAGCAACTACAGACTGTTAGATTAATTTAAAAGTATTGTTTTATACATTCGTAAATTATCGTAATTTAACAGCGTTTTAAAAATTATCTTAAGGTTGTGTTTCGCAAAAAAAACTTTAATTTGTAGCAAAAATAGTTATTTCAATTTAGAACTAGGTTCTGGTGTTCTGAACCGATTTCCATATAAATTTCTGTGGGACATATATATATTTGTGTGATATATATATATATATATATATATATATATATATATATATAAATGAAAATCACTTCATTTGTACATTTTACAAAATAGAATATACATAGGATTATACATATTTACATTGGAAGTGGACAGAATCGGTACTAGGATTAGAGTAGGTAGCACAGGGTGTGTTATGGTATTCTGGATATTCCCCCACACTCAACACTTGACTATACAAAGAACAAATAAATACACCATAATATAAAAAGTAATTATAAAAGTCTAAAAAAATACAAAAAGGCACAATATAACAAAATTCAAGTACATAATTCCTCATACAATAATCATATGATATCCGAATGTACGAAATACAAAACACAAATGGAAGTATTGATACAGAAATACAGTCTCAATAGACTTGGAGGAGATTGGTTTATTTTCAAATATACTCGCAGAGCCACATTCCGGAATGGCAAAATCTTTAATTACTATATTTTTGAATCAATAATTCCCTTCATCAAAATACACTACTGAGTTATTATGTATTATTTATTTATGTATCAATGTTTTAAGTATGTGACGTATTTCATAAAATTAGGGTATGATGAGGCTGACATTATAGGATAAAAGCCTCTAAATAAAAAAAGATAAAAAATTACATAATTCCAAATACAAACATAAGGTCTAAGATGAACTCACTGTATGGTTTTCAGAAGACATTCAGTTCCTTCATAGCATTGCATATATAAATATTTCATGACTTATACTACATATATACTTATTGAGTATATATAATATAACGATACTTATATAAAACCATGGCTTTGGTTATTATCCCATCGATAGGGTTTACTACCTTTGCCATACCGTTATGGGACCCATATTTATTTTATAGCGTCGTCGCCATAAAACATCAAAAACTGGGAAACTTTGTGCAAAAGTCGTTTGCTTCGTCGGTAACTTTGTCCCATTCGTGTTTCTACCGTGAAGCAGTTGTTTGCATGGCTGTGTTTCGGTTTGAAGGTTGGGATATGGCAGTGAATTTATAGGATACAGAGGAATGGCAATCCATGGGAGGTATCATGAGCGAAACAGTATACTCATATTATGTCCATGGTACTGCTCATGTCTATAGGCGACAGGTTACCACTTTCCATCAGGTGGACCGTCAGCTTGTTTGCCATTCTAAGTTGCATAAAAAAAAAACAATATATTTTCTGGGTGCAATATTCTTGTAAAAATAGTTCCGCGTTCTCAATTGATATGTTTTAAACAAGCTCTATCCCATGTATTGGTTTTAGTAACACTGTTACAGTTTCCGTCGACTCTTCAACAAGAGTTGCGTTCAATACCTCCGCCATTAAAGGCAAATATTCGCAGTTTAAAACGTTCAACCGCTCGCAAACAAATGGCCGTGAGCGTTGTATAAATCTGCACGTTTTATCACTCCAACCAACGTCCGTTACCTCAGGGAGACGTATTAACACCTGGCCCTTATCCATCGTTGGAATGATCCTTAAAATGTTACTCGCATTTACAGCCAGTGGATTGGTTTTAAGCGACGGTGTTTTTTTTTTTCAAAAATAAGAGGTCCGTTTATTGTTTTTATTTTTGTTTGTCCACTACTGGATATATGGTAGGTCTCTAACCTTTTATTATATTACCTCAAAAACCTCAGAAACTTTTTGTCAGCTAATTGTCAAATTAGCTATCTCGTTTTCTTTTATCAGTGTTCTTTAAATAAGAGAGAGGCATAAAATGTATTTTGATGTATAAATAAAATGAGTGTTTACGCATTAAAAAGATGCAGAATTTATAAGACAAAATAAATATAGAAGTTATAAAGGAATCACCCATAACTATGTATTACGTAAAATTATATGAAAAAATTCACGCGTTTTTTTTCGAAGAAGTTCTATGGATACACTGTCTATATAATGTTAGCTTCTCCCATAAGGAGATTTTTGCCAATAGTTGCCACGCTTAGCAACTAGAACTAGGCTTTGTTGATATTTTAAAAGGGGCATATAATAAATCGTGGTAAATACAAAATAAGCACAGTGTACGGTATTCCAGACAAGCTTCTGTTTTTAGTATGCCTGTTTATTTTTTTTTTTTTTATTTTATAGTAAAAATTCCCATTTGGTCCCAGCATAGAATAGGCCACCCCTTCCTTTCCCGTGGGTATTGTGAGAGGCAACTAAGAGAGGACGAGGAATGGGCAACAGCGTTCCTCTTAAAACATCTCCAAAATCTAACTGCGGTTGCCAATCCGCCTGCCAAGCGTTGCTACTACTGGCAAAACCCCTCTAGGACTACTACTAGACTTATGTTCAGCAGTGGACAGTTAAAAGCTGATATAATAATGATAGTGGAAATAAATAAATGTTTACCAAAAAAATTCACACTGAAACCCAAATTGACGACTGTCAAAAATTCAATAAGAAAATCCGAAAATAGAATCGAAAGTCTTTTGTTTACTGTTTTGTCACAACTATTAAATTGTTCAAATCCATTCCCCGAGGTGAGAGATCAAAGGAATAAACAGGATATGCGGATAAGCTATGTACTTTGCAATAACTAGTGTCTTTATTTTGAACTTTAAAACAAAATATGTAAAGCACATTCTCTTATACTCGATTCGAGTGCAGTGATGTAAATTCAAAGCGATATCTCACTAGCTTTTTGAAGATTGCTTTTTGTCCTGAAGATGTTTATTTGACACTTGACGTTTAAATATCTTTACTTTCTTATATATTTTTTTATTTAATATTGCCAAAGGATTATAATAAAGCGTGACAGCTACTGACAAAACCTTCCAAAGGGAAGGCTTGTGTTCATCAGTGGATAGTTGAAGGACCATATGATGATGATTGGCAAAGGGCTAGCATTGCCCATTATGGCACTAACAAACAATAAATAAAATGGGATATTACTTTGGTATGGCAACGCATGGGGGTATCATGGGCGAAACAGTATACTCTGTTATGTCCATGGTACTACCCATGTCTATAAGCGAAGGTTACCACTTTCCATCAGGTGGGCCGTCAGCTTGTTTGCCATTCTAAGTTGTATAAAATAAAAAACTCGCCAATTCTAAATATTCTATTGACCGTATTTATTAGAATTTTAGTTTACGCAATTTACAAAATTCAAAATTATTGTTATTTAACTTTAACTATTACAATATTAATTTTTAATATATGTACATTTATTGTCGAGGTTTTTTTTTAAAAACTTCAATATAGGGTTCTTCAAAAAAAGGGATGAAAAAGTTTCTTCAGGGCAGACAACGCGTACGTAATACCCCTGGTATTGCAGGCATTCATAGGCTACGATAACCGCTTACCATCAGGGAGGCCATATGCTTATTTGCAACCTCAGTGTTATAAACAAAATATTATTATAATAAAGGTTATATTATTGACAACAAATGTTTCCCCGCTTTGTCTGCATGATCAAGGGATTAAAGAGTAACCTATACATGTCTCTTTCTCCATCTCAAATACTAATTATATAGTGTAAAAAAACAAATAACTCACTTTCATTATATCAATATACAAATTTTCTTCAACTTGATTGAAATAGTTATTCAATCAATCAATTACCAACATAGTTATCATTCAATCAAATTCCAACTACATCAGAACTAACTATATCCATTACAAAATGACTTACAAATTAATTTCACAAAAAAAAAAGCAACTCCACAGTACCGAAACACAATGGGGGACATTCTTTCGCACATTTGTCGACCTGCCCCTATGTGTCCCACAGGAGTAGCCGACAAAGGGCAGGGAAGGACCCAAAGGGCCCATGGGACCAGGGCATAACTTACAGGGCATTAAATTTAAGTGATTCCACTGCGAACACATTTAAAGTTTTATTTCAAAGTTCGTGATTTTCCCTTTGAGAGGTCAGCGTGTTTCTGCAATTCTAAACAATTGTTTCAAATTCAAAGTTATATATATATATATATATATATATATATATATATTTTTATATATATTTTTTTTTTTTTAAATGTCCCTCTAGTAGAACCTTCTATAATGTATATCTGGCAATTTTCTTTGTTAGTTCATTAGTTCATTACATATATTTTATATGTAATGTAAATGTTATGTACATTTACATATATGTCATATCTTCTGTTCTGTTTGTTTTAAGTTCAAAGCGAGCTTTTTTTTTTCAAATGACAATTCGATTTGACCCTTTTAATATTTGTTATTCAAATATAACGTGTATATGAAATGAACACGAATATGCGAGCTAGTGTACATTTGCAGATGTTATTTTACACATAACGCAAATTAATGTAAATTTTTGTAACGTATTTTAATTATTTACAGATATCAACGGACGCCGTGCGAGCAATAGCTGTCGGCGAGCCACAACGAACAAAATTAAGTGATAATGGACACTCATAAAACAAACCTTGTGAGAAATTTTAATTTAAATCTTCTAACCATTCTCTTAGAAAAACTCAAAATGTGTAGATAAATCAACAATTTTATTACATACAATTCAGTTATTGTCTCCATGTTTTTTTTTTATTAATTAATCGGTCAGTAAACCATTTGCTTTCTCTATTTTTGTATTTATATATTAATAATATAACTTCAGCAATTCATTTATACTCATTATATTTAGTTAATGAAAAATATACTGTATGAGAGAGCCAAAGTGTTGATAAATCTCCATTAAGATAAGTTGTAAATAATGTATTTTAATGAAACTAAATGTAATTCATTTATTGTCATTATTAGGATTAAAGTGACGATTCTCTTGTTTCTTTTACCTCAACGTAGTTACAAAATAGTACTTAATTTTATGTAATACTTTTAGATTCGTGAGCCTTAATATATTATTACCTATTTCATTAAATTTTATTTAAGCTGTCCTTAATGCACAACGTCATAGCCCTTACATTTAATGTCGTTATTATTCATATAAGTTATGTAACTTATTTTTTGTATTGTTATAAATGTGTATTTGAATGCCTCAAAGCTTCAAAACAAATATGAGAGTCATGAACTTAGTATTTTATTTAGGTTGGTTCTGAAATTACTATGAGATTACTTGTTTCTTTTTACTTTTTTAAAAAGTGTTAGTTTCTAGTTAAATGTACATTATGTTCGAGAAATAAGTGAATTATCGAAGTCCTCATTCATAATGTATGTGGTAAATTAATATATTGTAAAAGATATGTTCAAAGCCTTTTAGAATATTGTTTTCTTATTTTATATTATAAACAAGTATTAGTTGAAATGTCTTATCGGTTCCGTCCATTTTTATTATTTTTTTTACATATATAATCATTATATATCTATTTTTTGTAAATATAATTATCATAATGTTTAAATGTTATCTTGCCTTGCGTTCTCGTTAATAGCATGCTTTATTGTGGATATATTTTAAATCAATCAACATACAGTTTAGAGAAACGCCAAAGACTTGAATATTATAATGTCTTTACAAACCAGTGTTTTAAACATAGTTTATTTTATTTAAAGCAATAACATTTCACCAAAGAACAAACAATGGGCCACTTTAATTATAATATTATAAATTGTCAACATAATTATATATATAACTTAAAATGTATAAATTGTATAATTCTTACCAATCACAAAATAACATCAGTCTTCAGTATAATTATATTATACCTTGATTATTTCTTGAAGATTGATATTATTTTGTCAACTATTTATTATTTCAATTCAAAATTTAAAAATACATAAATAACCCTATACTTTTTATGACCATTTAAATTTATATAAAAAAATGTAAATGAAACATATAACATAACTTATGTTGACGATTTTCAATAAGAATATACAAAATAATAAAATATTATTTGATTATATTTATTTCTATATTATTTCAATATTTACTAATAAATTTTTAAAAAAAAACAATTATAAGAATCATTTAAATACGATTTATATAATTTAATTATATAAACTTTAAGATAATCAAGGCCCTATTATGTATAAATAAATAAATCAAATAATGAAATCTCATTTTAATATAATAATAATTTTTTTATGCATTATTTTTCCTATTTATTGAACATAAATTCTTGGGAACTGCTTTTGTTTTCCGGAAAGCATATCGAGATAAGTGATATACATCACATACATGTAATATCTAATAGACGGATAAAAAAAAAACGTTTCGTTTAATTTGTAATAAGTATATTTGTAAGGTAAACGCACCAGTACGAAATAAAGCATAATATGAGTTTATAAAGTAATGTTTATTTTTTAATATACCTTCGCCTTTGCTCGTCTGAAATGAGTTTCTCCGTTCTCCTATAATTTAAACTATATACCCCATGAGGAAAACTAAATTCCCGCCAACAACAATTTTCGTGCAAAATTTCTAAGTTTTCACAGTAAATTCACATATATGTTGATCGCAAAGAATTAAAATTCATTTACAAGAACCAAACCCATTCTGATGTGGGAGAAAGGGATTATTAGTAATAGGGTTAACTGATCCATTGCATGGTATACTAACCCAATCAGTTCGATCTCCACGCTATTCCCCCTGGAAACCATCGTGGTTAATTCTAGTGGAATTCGTCACGATAGGCTAACTGACCTGCTTTCGTCGTCACCCCTCATCCCTCACTGGTGCCCCGCTAGTGTATATCGATAGCGCAGGCAAGGTGGCAGAGTTATCATTCCATTATCGTCATTAAAAAATAGACCTGTTTTCATCGTTCACCTATCATCCCTCACTGGTACCCCGCCAGCGTATACCGATAGCGCAGGCCTTTATATTATACCAGTATCACACGTAAAAAAAAACATTCTGAATATGATCTAATAGACACCCATGAAACCCCATAGTTCAGAGGATTATCGTGGGTAGTATTCTTAATCTCTGCGATGATTAAAGTATTTTATGTCCTTATTTTACGACCTTTGGTCATAGAAAGAGAATGCCAACGAATGAATTCTTAATGTATGCACTTTATTTAGATTTTTATGATCGAGGTATTAAAATATTTAACCTTTGGCTAGTACCTCTTATAAAAAAGGATTAACACAATAAGTCATAGATTAAAGATAGTGCCTGTGGTCTGTTTTAATATAGGAAATTGTTTTTTTTTTTTTTATACGACTTAGAATGGCAAACAGTCTGACGGCTCACCTGATGGAAGTGGTAACTGTCGCCTATAGACATGAGCAGTACCATGGACATAACAGAGTATATTGTTTCGCCCATGATACCCCCCATGCGTTGCCATTCCTGAGGACTCAGGTGTTATTCCTCTGTACCCAGGAAATTCACGCCACTCACTAGTATTAAGTAACACCAGGATCAGGTTCAGTATTAATGAAAACCAGGAGCAGGATTTCGGTTTACCTGCACTAGTTAATATTAGTCAGTTATCAAGTTCAGTTGTTCATAGTATCTAAGACAAAAGGGTAATCAGTCATTTTTTATTCTATTTTTTTTTTTTTATTTTACATTGACAGATGTTGCTGGAATGCATATTGCCTGCTAATCAAGGAGGTTTCTAACATTTCTTTCTATGTGATAGGCACTTAAAGTAGGTTAGGTACCCAAGAAATAATGACATTTTAAATTATAATTGAAATACTGATGTCAGTATTTCAAAAGATAAATTATCCATGTTTAAAATAATAATATAATTTGCCATTTAAAATCATATGGAAAAAAAATTGGTGCGATTAAAATATTTAAAACATTGAACTTCAAGAAGTGAACTCTTTATTAAATTAACATAAACGTAATTAAAATATATGACCAAATATGGGAAACGGAAACAAAGGAAATCTTTCGAAAATTGCCAATTAAAATCAAGTAGAAAACTTTGATAATGCCATTTGAAGTAGAAAGAGATATAACAGATCAACTATGACTGAAAAAAAGAAAAAACGTCGCCCTAAAGACGCGGAAAAGGAAGCACCTGAACCAGCATGTACAAAAGAAATTAAAGAGAATTGTGTACTACAGCCAAATGATAATAATACTCCAAAACGCCTGTGCAAGACAAAACCAAAACCTGAGAGTGCAAAGTGTAAAAAAAGAAAGAAAAATGCTAGTCCTTCTCACTAGTGATGATTGAAACATAAACTCAGTTTATTAATGTGCAAATTCGATATATTTTGAAAGCCATTAAATAATCTAAATCAGTATTTAGAATGTCAATTCAATAAAAAAGTTATATATATATTAAATTCTAATAATTTAATATTTATTTCTAAAATCCTAAACTTTTTATTTCTATTTCTAAAATAATTTTATTTCTATTATATTTTTTTATTACTGTCTATAATTTTATATCTATTTTCTTTTTATTTCTAAAATAATAAACGGAGTCACAAACTCTGTTGGCATTTTCGAACCTCTATCTTAAAGCAACAATAGTAATAGAAAATAAATGCACGATCCTATTACCTTTAATCCTTAACTCATCATAAACGTAGTATTACGTACTTCTGAGCATCTGAGTAGCTCAAAAACGACTGCAAATATTATATCCTTGATCTATGTATTATATTTAAAATTAAATATAAAATAAGATTGTAAATATATTTCTATTTAGATAAAAAAGAAAAATAAAGTGTCAAATAATGTCATGACAAAACAGAGACTTCATATATTTTCAACGGACGATTAAATTCATCAAAGATGTAACACATAAGAAACAACACAAAAACAAATCCCGAACATAACCGCCAATCAAAATGTATAAGTAAGTAAATTAAACAATCAACATATAGAAAATTAAATCTAAATATTATGTTTCCTGATAAACAAAAGTCAGATAATTGTAATTTATCAAAAATTCTAGCTACTTGCCACAGAGAGACACAAACAAAAAAGACTATATTAAAAGATTCTGGCTCATTAACAGACTCGCTGCAGCGTCCGTCAGATTCCATAAACAAAGCTGACAAGGATTCGTTAAAATCATTCGAGTTTAGTCAAATAATAAAGGAATCAGAAAATTCCAACTCCATTACTGTTATTAAAGATAGTTTTACGGAAGAGACACACGATCATTCCAACGCCGAATCTCTTTCTGATGATGCAATAGCCAATAGATACAAATATTGTAGAGAAATCATAAAACCATATCTTAAATCGTACCCTCAAGGCTGCTCTCAATCAGATGAGAAATTAATCCAAGATACGCTGAATTCTATCAACGACGACTTTCCTGACTATCGATCCTGCTTTGAAATATTTGGCAGCGAAAAGAAAAGTAGCTCTTCAATAGCCAGCAGCAATAAGATAGGCGGCAGTACTTGTACATTTAGATCTAAATCAAGTTGCATAAAAAACTCTTGTGACTCCTTAACTACAATTGAAACTCCAAAGTGTAATAATTCATCAAACAACAATTGCAAACAAAAATCGATCTGCACACCTAAAACAAGTAAAAAAATTGTTTGCCCACCAAAAGATAGCAAGTTAAAAAAACCAATTTGCGTGTCAAAAACTAGTATGAGTTCTGATTCTAAAAATAAAGACCCTAAAAAGGATTGTCCTCCTCCTGAGGAAAAATCTCCATGCAAAAAGAAAACCAAATGTCCACCCCCAATAGACGATTGCAGTGAAAAACAAACATCAAAACAGGATTTACCTGCGGTATCGTGTACCAAAAGCGATCACACTCTTAAATGCAAAGACAGAATTTTAATAGAGGCATGCGAAGAGAAACCCAGTAAAAAGAATGGAGTTACTTCCAGTAGCCATTCTTGTAACTTAGAGTCTGCAAAAACATCTCATACAAAAACATGTAAACCTTGTTCTTCACACGATACTCTGGGAGAACAAAAAAGTATATTAGACATACATGGTGAAACAATTACTACAATCAAAGTTGCAGCAGAAGACTTCTTTGGAAAAGTTTTTAAAATGACTAAAGATGCTGTAACAGTTATAACGACAGAAAGCGTTCGACATTTGAACAAAATTACACCAAAAAAATCTGAAACTGATAATAACGAATCTGCACCGATTACACAAAATGAAAATAATGCAGGGACTATTTCCGGCTTTAATTTTTTCCATAGTTCAAACATCCAAGAGGAAAAGAAAGGTGAATGTCCAGAAGAGCGAACGAAAATGCAAGAAATTGTCAAAAATATAGCTACGAAAGTAAATTCAACCATTACAGTGATCAGTGATCAGATACATACTGTTGCCAGTTCTATGCTAAAATCGAAGAACTTCAATGACAATAGTTCTCCATACGATAAACCAGTGCCTCCTGAGGAAATTTCAAATAGGCTGCAGGAATCAGCTCCTACTCCGAGTAATGTTTTTACAGTTATAAAGTCAAAAATATGCTCCATGTTTTACGAAACTGAAAATCAAAAAGACTTATCGAGGACTCCCTCTACGTCATCTACTGATAGCGACATATCAAAAAAGGAAGCAGATACTGGCCTTTTTCAACGCTGCAATGAATAAATAACTTTTACATTAAAATAAGCAACATTTTCATCTAGCATTTTATTTTATAACTAGCTTTTACACGCGAGTTCATCTGTATGACCACGTTTAGTTTACTAATCGGGATAAAAAGCAGTAGTAATAAAAAGTATACCTTCATATCCTTCTCCTTTCCATACAGTGCATGTATACCGAATTTCATAATAATTGTTTAACCCGTTAAGGCGCTATAAAATGAACAAACAACAAACTTACATTTATATAATTAACAAAAATTTTAGCCAGAGGGAGACTGTACAAAAGTTGATTGCTTGGGTACCTCTGTCCCATTCGTGTTTCTATCGTGAAGCAGTTATGTTTGCATGGTTGTGTTTCGGTTTGAAGGGTGGGATATGGTGTGAATTTACAGGGTACAGAGGAGTAACACTTGAGTCCTCAGGAGTGGTAACGCATGGAGGGTGTCATGGACGGAACAGTATACTCTGTTATGTCCATGGTACTGCTCATGTCTATAGACGACGGTTACCACTTTCCATCAGGTGGGTCGTCAGCTTGTTCGCCATTCTAAGTTGTATAAAAAAAAATTAAATTTTTTGGTTTTCCATAATTCTGTTTCATTAACACTAATCATACCAACACTTATTAGATACCTAGTTTACCATAGCGGGTCAAATGACCCGAAATTTACGTTTCCTACTTTTATGTATGAAATATGGATGTTGGAAAGGAAATAAAAATATAATGATAATAAAATATGTATTATAATTATATGAAATAGTATTTTTACAATTTCTATTTCAAACGCAAAAAATAAGAGTTGTTTTTATACATCACATTTTTTACACATAAGTGTTTCCGTCGCACATTTCCCGCAAACAAATTTTTTACAATTGGAGCAAATTTTATTAGTTTTATTTTCTTTGCAGTATCCTATTTGACACCTCTTACGTTTATTAGAATCTGTAACAGGGTTAGGCAACGATCGTTTAGTATTTGCTTTTTCTTTTGGTTGTTCACGGGCAACTCGAAAATCGTCGGCAAGTTCTACTGCTAGCTTGAGTAAAAAAATCTTGTCTCGAAATATTATCTCCTGTCGTTTGCTTGTATAAAATCCAAGCATTTATACCAGCTAAATCAAGGATATTGAAAAAAACTTGGAGTGGCCATCTGCAAGACTTAGACTTTGTAGTAAATTTCCTCGCCATTTGATCGGTCATGTCTACACCAAATTTGGTTTTATTGTAATATGAAACAGTTTCAGGTAAACGCTTATCATTATTTTCTATTGATACAAATTTATGTTTAGAACTAAGTAAAAGTACCTTTTTATTTGACTTGCTTTTATAAATTGTAAGAGTACAATTATCAGAAGTAAAAATTTTCGAAGAATATCTTGCCATGTCATCTTTCTTTTGCTTTGCAATTAGTGGTAGCTCCCTTTTGTTTGAGCGAATGGTTCCAACTAGGGTAGTTCTTTTTGCTAGAAGTTGTATGGCTAGGGATTTGCTTGTAAAGAAGTTGTCTGTGGTCACAGTTCTTCCGCAACCCGTAAATGGCTCGATCAGCTTGAGTACAACATATTCAGAGAGTTGTACTGAAGAAGGTCTATTTTCATCTTTTCCTAGATATGGAAATGCATTTATGACGTATTTGCTATCGACGTCCGATGCTAACCAAAATTTGATTCCAAATTTATCCGGCTTGTTAGGCATGTATTGCGTAAATCTACATCGTACTTTAGTCGGAAATAGCTGTTCATCTATAGTAATATTACCACCCGGTTTGTAACAGTTTTGGCTGTTCTCAATGAAAATATTCCAAATCGTGGATACCATAGCAAATTTATCTGCTTTCAAACGTTCACTCCGCTGACTTTTTTTATCAAAACGAATAAATCTAAGAATTTCGGTAAAATTATTTCTGCTCATAGTTTCAGAAAAAAATTTGGGCCCCCATATATTATTCCACAAAAAAGAAAGTTTCAAATTATTTGCTCCATATGCAGCTCGTGCATATAAAATTGCAATAAATGCAGCAAGTTTTTCTTGAGATAAACTCCAATCGGATCCTAACACTCTGTTTGCTTCTTCTATTGTGCATGCTCTTATATGGTTCATAATACGGTGGTCAATTATCAATGAAAATGCAGTACTAACTTTACCTTTCATTATATGACGTTTAGCATATCCTGTTGGGCCTACTTCTTGCCTAAAAATGTTATGAAGTGGTGGTCTTCCAGGTGTGCCACCTATTTGTATTTCTTCCCAAACAGATCCATCAATTGCAACATGTTGTTCATTTATTTCTGCTTCACTTTCTTCAGAACTTGAGAGTAATCTTCTTCTTTTTCGTCCACAACCGATATTCACAATATTTTCCTCTTCATTGTCAGTATCTGTAGATTCAGACTCATTTTCGTTTGTAACCAATATATCTTCGTTTTCAGAAAGTTCATCTTCACCAATTTCCGAAAACTCTTCTCCAATATTATTTATATCTTCTAAGAATTTGGACTGTCTCGTTCGTTTCGACATTTTATGGGTAAATAGTTACCGGTATCACTAATAAAGCGATTAAAATAAAATAAAAACTATGTACCAAACTTTTCTTTTTTTGCTACCTTTTTTACACAAAAATCTAGTTTCAATCTAAAATTTTTATATTTTCTTGATTTATTCTCAGCTATTTTGATTGAACTACTTTACGTAACAGTCTTTGCATACATTTGCAGTTTACTGAATACAATAAGATAAGCAATATGTATTGATAAGCTTATAAAACAAAAAAAAATGTTCTTCGGGTCAAATGACCCGATGTGGTAGACAACGGTATACGACAGTTATTACTCAAAATAAACAAAACAAAAAATTATAAAAATATTTTTAGAACAGTAGACATAATTAGTCAGAAAAAGTCAGTAAGTTAAATTTGGAGAAGTAATAAGATAATACGTGCATTATCAATGCAAAAGTTCAAAATGGGTCATTTGACCCGTTATGGTATGATTAGTGTTAAAATGAAATTTGAAAAATAAATTCTAAAAATTAACAATGTCATTTTTTTATGAATTGTCTATAAAAAGTACAAATACTTTAAAAACCCAGTAGTAGTCTTTTAAAATATAAGGTTAGAGTTAAATATCATCGATCAAGAAAGATGAAATACTTTTTTTATTGATTTATCGACTTTTGTAGAATTTGCAAATAAACATTCAGAAAAAATAAAATTTCTTTCTGTTATTCTACAAATATTATAAATGTAAATTTGTAAAGGTATATATTTGTTTGTTATTCAAACTTAAAAGCCTAAACGGGTTTAAATTTAATAATATATTAAATGCGACATAACTTGCACGTGTACCACACACGAGGTCATATTTTAATTTAAAATATAGGATACTTTGAACTAATGTTACATATTTGTCAAAAGAAGTTCTTCAACAACGTAAAACAAACAATAAATATACTACATTAAACTACAAAAATAATACACGTATATTAATAGAAGATTGATGAGTAGGCACTTAAGGGAAATAAACAAGAAAAGACATCTGACTATATAGAAAATGCATTGCGCGCTAAATCCCCTTAAACCTTAACCTTAAACAGAGACGGGTTCTCTTTCGCTTTCATGTTAATGACTGTGATCTTTATATTTTTCAATTTAATATTGGTCTGTACATAACTTGACACTGTATTTGTTATGTGACAAATGGTTTGCCATAAAACAAAGCAATTAGGTAGCTGCTTTCAGAGTATTTGTACATTATTTTCCGAAAACAATGTAAAAACAGAAAAATGTCCGACAAAGAACGTTGCGGGGAAAATTGCAGAAACCAGCTAATGAAATGTCTACCATGTGTTTTGCCAAATGCGGAAGACGTACAAAAGACAAAGGAAAACATAAGTAAATTAAATGAAGTTATCAAACGCGACCCAGATTGTAAATGTTCGGCAAGAATTTGTTGCGATTCTCAAGCAGATCGAAAACAATGATTATTCCGGTTTAAATATTTCTGGGTTGGTATTTTTAACTAATACAATTCCGTTTATTGCTCAATTCATAGCAGATGGTGAAGTGACATTTTTAACTCTTTGTAGATAAACGTACTTACCTGATATAAAGATGAAATTATTTGCAAACATGTGTGTATTGTAGGTACAAAAACGTACTGGTTATTCATTGAAGGATTTGTATAGTTCATGCTAAAACTACCTATACAAATTTGTTTTGCTAACATTGGCGTGCAAAAAGTTCTTCCAAAAACAGTGGCAGTTTTAATTTACTATGTATATGGAGACACTCTTTCATGTTCACCCCACATATGAATATTACTGCCATATCTACCTTTAAAACCGAAATGCAGCCATGATTTTTGTATTATTTTTTCTCTGATTTCAATTTTAATTATACCTTTACTTTCAGCTAGGTGCCTACCAGGTGCGTCTATAAACATCAAGTCCTGCGCTAAAGTAGAACCACCAGAACCACAACTACATCCCTGCAATTCACCTCGCTCCCCCTGTGTTGATGGTAAAAAGACGAAAAAACGCGACGAACCCCCAGTCTGCCTCCAAAGAATAAAAAATCCAGAACCACCTAACCTAACCTGTAATTTGTGACCGCGAAAACAATTAGATCCTTAATTGCTTTCTAAGATTTTATGTTCTTTATGTAATTAAAAGAAGGATTAAATACGACGCATAATTTTTCATTCATTATTTTACTACTTTTCAATCGTCTTCAAAAAAAGCTCAATTGATTTTTTGTTTTATATCAAAATTAACCCTCTTTGGAAATACATTTGTTGTTGGTCACCGCCACCTGCGGTATCGAGGAAAGGATTGAGGAAAAAAGGAAGGGAACGTTGGAAATGTGTAAAGGAAATTAGTAAATGAGAAGAATAAGGGACTCGTGTGGGAAAAGAAAGGGGGAGACGCTGCAGTTGCGGAAAGGACTGGGACACTGCAGCGGCTAAGGGGTTCATAGAGGGGGGGGGGGGAGAGAAGGGATTATTAATAATGAGGTCTGACTGACACATTACTAACTATACACCCTACCAGGTCGACCACACGGTTCCCCCTGGAAACCATCGTAGTTAATTCTAGTAGAATTCGTCGCAATGCGCTAACTGACCTGTTTTCATCGTCACCTACCAACCCTCACTAGTGCTCCGCCATCGTATACTGATAGCGCGGGTGTGGTTACCAGAAAGAAAAAAAAGGAGTCCATGGACCTCACTTTAAGAAACCTTGTTCAATATTAAGTTCATATTAATTTTATCATTCAAGCATAAGCTGACTCCTGTAATGTTAATATTTTTCGATCCATGTTTTGATAAAATGTGTAGTTTCACTAGTTACATACATTTAACTAAATCTATATGTAATATACACTCTTAAAAGAATACTAACGATGTATTTTTCAGCTATAAAAAGAATTTGTAGAGTTTTAGATAACGTTTTGTAATACTGGCATATTACATTTATAAATATCTCTATGACATGATAAATGAAACAAAAAGAACAAGAAAAATGGACGCCCGTTAGCAGACAAAAGATTTCAAAATTAAATACCATGTCGCGAATATGAATACAAAGAAATGTACTGTAGTACCAGTTCCGGAACCGCCGCCGCCTGATCCCTGCACGTTACAACGGATACGATTGAAGGAAAAAGCTGGTATTAAAATATGTCCAAAGAAACCAATTGAACAACCTCGTCCTCCACCCCCGTGTCTGGCCATTTGCATAGAAAAAATAAAGAACCCTCCTGTATCCCCCAAGTCAGATACAACAGTCGTTTGTACAGTCGATAGAGAGATAACAACCACTGCTAGGTGCGATCGAATTCTTGAGGCCACTGCTGCTCATCCGGACCCATCTTGGCCCAGCTGTCCAATACCATCGCTCCCTCCACCACCCCCACCGTATGATCCCTGCGAAGAACAACGCAGAAGAGAAAAGGCGGAAGAGTGTAAAAGAAGAATGAAAAGATATTTGGAATAAATATGGACAAGATTAATAAAGTACCTTCGAAAAACACAACTGTGGATTCAATTATCGAGAAGATAAAAGACGAGATAAGTAAGAATTCTGACGAAGATTTAGGTAAGACTCGAAAACTGACTATGTTATCAACAGTTAAAAATGATTCCGTTAATGAATCTACTAATGACATAGACAGGCAAATATCTGACTTGGAGAATATTATAAAAAAATTACAAAATGAAATTGTTGAGATGTCTAATAAATCAGAGAAAAGTAAAGACTATATTTCGCCTGATACCGAAGAAAAATCACATAATTTAGATAGAGATATTATTGAAGATAACCTTGATAGTCCCAGCCGTATATTTCCTGTGGTAGTAAATGATAGTAAAGTACAATTTACAGAAGAAACCGAAGAATCCAGAAAATTTGACAAAACAATAAAGGATCTTTTAAATCGGACTAGTTATAATAATGCATCGGGTCCAGTTTCAGAGTCGTTTTCAGTAACTAGAAAGAATTTTTCGCAAATATTTCAAGACAAAACTAAAGAATCAGAATCGGTCGTCGATGAAAAATTAGCAAGTGAAGATAATATTAGTGTCTTAATCAATGAATTAAAAGCTGAGATATCAGAAAAGATGGAAGAATTAAAAGATGTCGACACCGGTCAGCCTTTGAATAGTTCTAAAGAAGATATGCAATGAACTAAAATAATTAAATTTTTTACTATATTTCATTCACTTCTATCTGTAAAAACTTATTGGGTGAATTTTATATTTTTATAAAATAAATGTCTTTTATTTTTTAAAAGAATTTTTAAAAATAAGTACTTATTTTCGATTATATTTGAAAGTTTCTTTTTGTCGGTGCATTCATTCTTTTAGCCATCTCTTCTCTTCCAGGCCATATCTTTAAGCTCCCTATACGACATGGCACCTGTATTCGTAATAGAAGATTTTTTTAATATATATATATATATATATATATATATATATATATAAACACCATTAAAAAGGAATTCAATTTTTTCGATAAAGAAAGAGATTTTTTTAATTTACCTTAAAATTAAAAGTAAACAAAATTTCAAATTTGTCCCAACAGTTTTATTCACAGAGTAACAAATATAGTCCATACAAAATACAACATTAAAATATATCTCGTCTTATATCCGTAACATTCATATTTAAAACATATCAAAGCAAGCCATGTTTACATATTTGACTAGATATTACTCTGATTTTCAAAAAACATTTTCTTCTTTATATATATAATATTCATTAATTTTTTATACTCAAATATATAATTATTGAAGAAAATATATTAAAAATTTATTCGACAAGCAACAAAATAATGCAATAGTAGCTTGTCGACAACACATATATATATATATATATATTTATATACTATATTTTATATATTTCATATTTATAAGGCATTTTTACCTTTTGGCACAATATTTTATTTGGCATTTCTACACTTGGATAAATAAGGCACATCGCCACAATATTATAATTTATTTTAAAATTTAATTTAATATATTTTAATATACATTTTAAAAATACGTATCAAAGTCGCTCACCGATTAAAACTTTCAATTTGAAAATTTGTACAATTCCGTAATTCACTTTGTACACTATTCAAAGTATAAATGTAAATAATAAATTAATTTCTCTATATCGATAGATATCTATTAAAACGATAAATGTCACAAATTATATTATATTTGGGAATTAAATCAATAGGAATGGGGTGAAAATTCAAACAATCCAATCTCTCTCGTTTACCGCAATGTATGAGGGAAATTTCAATAATTTTATATGGCAATACCAAAAATATATACCAATCATAGTCAGACTAGTAATATTTTCAAAGCTAAGACAAGCGAAGTATCGTAATAACTACTTATTTACAAAATATTCATCAAAAAATCCCTGAGACTCCACTTTTCGGTGGGAGTCCTCCAAAGCCGCCGAGGCTGGGTACCTTCAGAACCCTGCAAGGGTATTGGGTACAAAATCCACACGGTACCAACCGATGTAGATATAAAAAGGATGAATCCAAAAACATAAGCACACTACGTTTGTTCGGTTATTTGCCGCGAGGTGGAGGCTGCATCGCTGGCTGGTGGAAAGGATGATACTGTCTTGAATATAAACTTTCCTGTAACATCAATTTAATACATTTATAGTTATTAAACGACATACATTGCAAATATAGATGGATGTAGATACCGAGGAATACCTATTCTAGGTCTAGGTGGTTTTCATGGGAAACCATTATGCTTAATTCCAGATTCATTCATAACGATGGGCAAACTAATCTGCCATTTCATCCTCACTTATATGTTATGTCCATGATACTGCTCATGTCTATAGACGACGATTACCACTTTTCATCAGGTGGGCCGTTAGCTTGTTTGCCATTCTAAGTTGTATAAAAAAAACCTACCATCCTTTACTGGTACTCCGCCAGCGTATACTGTTAACGCAGGAGGAATTATCAGCTATTAAAAAACCCCTTATGCGTTCAATAAATTCACTGTTACATCCTTACTGTTAAGTTGTACTTAAGGTACCCCTTGGTTAGCAATGGCTATAGAATTTTTATACTCCATTACGAAAAATTTTCCCCCAACCAATTCATGATGGTAAATTCTAGGATTGGGAGGAAAAGGAATGTTAGTAATGAGATCTAACAGGCCCATTACTAGCAATATTTTAACTTCAATACTCTAACAGTTCGACCTCCACTCGGTTCCCCCTGGAAATCACCATGGTTAATTTTTGATGAATTCATCACGATGTGCAATCTGATCTGCTTCATCCTCATCTTTCCTTCCTTCATCGCTCACTCGTGCCCTACCAGCATATACCGAAAGAACAGGCAGGGTTACCATTCCATTTTCACCCATTAAAAAAGAATCCTAAAATTTACCAAAGTACAAGCTTCTACAGTAACATATGTAACAATATATAAGCAACAATAACTTCATATCATCAGACAGGATGTATGCTTCTTGTTGTGTGATATAAAAAGACCTTACCACATCATTTGCTCTATTTTGAGCAGCCCCCATTTTTCTCTCTTGTAAAATGATTTGATTAGCAGCTCTGTAAAAAATAAATCACTTTTTAAGTATTTTTATTATAGTAACCATTATTTTAATATGCGGATAAATTAAAAATTATTCTCGTCTGTATAAAAATAATACACTATATAAAATATTTTAGTTACTAAAATTTGTATGTGTTCTTTAAATGTGTATTGCCCACATATACACCTCCTTCTGTGTGAGGTCTAATTCTTCATAATTCCTTGTAATAGATTACAAAAGAGGCCACATGCATGTGTATTCATTTGTGTATGTATGTGTATTTATGAAAGCAGTTGCTCCCGTATTCATCCTTCTGAGTGCCGCTAATCAATTCCTACACGTCTCAAAAGAACCCTAAGTATTTGTACTATAAATAATAGTAATCTAAAAATTATATACGTATTCAGAGAAGTCACATGTATGTGTATTATTTGGTATATATATTCATGTAACAAAATGCTCACATATCTATCTTTTTAAGTATTCTGCAATATCATGTGAGGATACTGGATTAAATCTTTGTAAACTATAGACAATAAACGTCTAGAAGTAATACGTTTCTATAAACGCCTGTTTGCATACATTTATTTGTATGTGTACATTTTTGCATGTGTTAGTTTTTTTATGTGTATGTGTTTGTATGTGTGTGCGTGTGTGTGTGTGCATGAAACAAGTTGCTCACGTGTCCATCTCCTCCTGGGTGAGGTCGAGCGCCTCCTGCATCTCACGCGAGGTACTCTGGATGAAATCTTTGTCACAATACTTGCCGAGGCCCTGCTCCGTCAGTACCTGTGACCATAAGCTCGATATCATTTACCCAATTGTCTTATTATAACTTATTAAGGTCCCTCTGCTAAGTACAGTTCTTCCTTACATGAGGACAATGTGGTTTAACTGCCTCATTGCTAACAATATATCTATCCTATTAGGTCGACCTCCACGCGGTTCGCCCTGAAAACTATCGTGATGAATTCCAAAAGAATTAATACTAACTAAAGACTAACTGACCTGTTTTCATCGGGGAGAAAGGGGTTGTTAGCAATGGAGTTTGACAGCTCCATTGCTAGCAATATGCCCTATTAGGTCGACCACCACGTGGTTACCCTTGGAAACAATTCTTGTTGAATTCGTCACGATGGGCTAACTGACTTACTTCATATGTCGGTGTATACTGATAGCGCGGGTGGGGTTACCGTTCCATTTTCACCCATTAGAAAAAAAACCTACTCTTGCCACGCTTAACATTGCCATTAAACCTTAGTTTTTTAAATCGAAATAACTGGTTAAGCCATAATTGGAGTGTTTACAAAGAATTTTTGAAAATTTCAACTTAAAGGAAAATAACACCTCGCGTACAAAGTCGGGAACTACTAGTCAGATGGACTGTATTCGTAATGTATTGTATGGATACATGATTTGAAGATGTACATAGATCGACTTCAAACCGTGTGTTGCTCTTTAGAACTAAGATGTTATGTTTTTTTTTTGATGAGTGAAAATGGTATGGCAGCCGCGCCCGCGCTAACGGGATACGCTGGCGGAGCACCAGTGAAGGGTAATATAATATATGTAATATATAATAAATGAGAATGAAAACAGGCCAGTTAGCCCATCATGACGAATTCATCAGGAATTAACCATGATAGTTTCCAGGTTGGGTATATTGCTAGCAATGGGATTCTCAGTCCCCATTACTAACAATCCCTTTCCCCCCAAAATGTTATGTTTATACCCTGTAACTGCACCGCTGTATCCCTCCTTTAAATCGAAGCATAGCCACGCTAGCACAACTACTCAGCGGCAGAAACATTTATTTATTATTATTTATTTATTTATTTATTCATTAAAAATAATTACAACATTATAACAGCAAACGCCAAATCAATATTATAAATTTAGTGTGCTATACATACAAGAAAGATAACATGAAAGAATAGAGCTCCCCATATAAAAGGCTGTACAAATTAGGATAAAATCTCCTTACTCGTGTAATAAGATTCTCCGCTGGATTCTCGACACAATAAGGCACGTTGTTGTTCTGACTCGGTGTTTTGTCACGATCTAAAAAGAAATTCGTACGTTTTTATAGCACTTGTAAAAAAAGCTGTCGATCCAACTGATGGGAAAAACGTCTCACGAAGAAGAACAAACCATAAGTATTATAGAAACCGTGCAGTGCACACAATCACACCAGTTCAGGTCGAGGTAAATATATCCGGATGCATAGAATGGGCAACCGCTTTCTTTTCCGTTAGTGTCTTAAGGGGCGACTAAGGGAACTTAATGGTAGAAAAATGGGCAGCAGCGTCCTTTTTGAAACATCTTTAAAACCTAACTATAGTTGCCTATTCGCCTGCCAAGCATGGCAACTAATGACAAAACCCCTCAATAGAGGGAGGCCTATGTATAGCAGTAGACAATTAACGGCCGAAATGGTATAATAGTCTTAGATTATTTATTATTACATCTTCATATTTAGAATTGATAGAATGTTCACCATGCCTCCGATCAAACTGTTTATAATTACTCCTCTCCATCCAAAGGTTGCCTGGAAGAGATCGCTCTTAGCGACAAGGTCGCCCATTGTTTTCTCATTGTGATTATTTCTTGTAATTGTTTATATTTATAATAAGTTTACTATTGTAATCTTTTGGAGGAAACAATAAAGAGTATCTATCTATCTATTATATAGATAGAGCATCGAGCCTCAAAAACGCATCAACTTTTGTCAGCTAATTGTCAAATTAGCTAACACGTTTTTTTATCAGTGTTCTATATATTTACACATAAAATATATCTTGAGGTATTATTTAATAAATAAAATGCATTAAAAAGATACAGAATTTATAAGACAAAATAAATATAGCAATTATAAAGGAATCACTCATAACTATTTATCACGCAAAATTGTATGAAAAAGTTAACGCGTTTTTCTCGAAACATTTCTATGGAGACACTCTATCTATGTAATCTAAGGGTACGGGGTATATCCGGATGGACCAACTTATCACATCTTATTCTCACCTGGTCCTATCGTTCTTCATTAATAAACTTAAAGCGCAGATCGGGTTCCTATTCCATTATCCATCCATAAAGAACTACACTTTTTGACTTATCCTCAAGTTAGAAAATCTTGTGTTATGAAAATCAAGAAAATTAATATCTGGGATTACAATTCAGAGCAGAGGCAATATAGAAATTATTTTTCCTAATTACCTGAATCATCATCATCATTTCAGCCATTACCCGTCCACTGCTGGGCATAGGCCTCCCACATAGACTGCCATAAAGAACGATCCTTAGCCACCTGAATCTACTTCGTGCAATACATTTAAGGTCGTCACTATCTAGTGGGGGATTGTCTTACACTGCGTTTGCCCATACGGAGTCGCCACTGGATTTCCTGGACATTATATACTATATGCAAACATGCTTGTGTTTGTCCCGGTATAGAATGGGCCACCTCTTCCTTTCCCATGGATATTGTAAGACTAAACCGCCCTCTTAAAACATCTCTAAAAGCCTAACTGCGCTTGCCCGCCTGCCGAGCATGGTACTCGTAACTACCGGCAAAACTTCCCTTATAGGGAAAGCTTGTGTCCAACAGTGGACAAATCGTCATAGTCGTAGAATACTGACGGATCTATATATGTAATATTTGTCAGATCCGTCAGTATTCTACGACTATGACGGCTGAAATAATAATAATAAAAAAAACATGCTTGTGGAAATCGTTTTTGATATATCCAATAACATTCTGGATTTGTCAGAAAAATTATACTTCATTGACTATTATATTACAATGTAGATTAATAATATTATTTGTAAAAAATGAAATTTTGTAACAGACAGAAATATGGGTGACATTCTCATGAGTCAGAAACGTGCAAAAACATGCATGTTAATAAATAGCCACGATTACAATTTTTATATCAAATCCTATGGTCTTTTAAATATGACAATTTGAGATTACGTACCGACAATCTGTATTATGTTAAAATAGGGTTTCAAATATTCAAGAATACTTGAGAATAAGCTTAGATATCACTACTTGGATTCATAACTGATCAGAAGTATAAATACATACATATATTAATTAAAAAAAATAGCACAAGATTCAATAAAATTAGATCAGTCTTTTTGGTTTGAGATTCATACTCAGGCTTTGAGGAAAAAAAATATATATATATATATATAGCATATATATATATATATATATATATATATATATATATATATATATATATATATATATATATATATATATATATATATATATATATATATATATATATTTATACTGTTATTTTCCATTGGTACCAATGCAGGTTGTTCTTTTTTTTTGGAAAATTGTCATTTATTTTTTTATTAGTATTTGGTAATATAATTTTTTTTTCTTGGAAAAGAAAATTTTGCTATCCTATTAATGAGTACACCAGTTTTAAGAACTGGATTACGTAAGTTTCATACTGTAGATACAAATACAAAAAAAAATGGGGTAAATATACATTATGCTTACGTACTATATAAAATATACTAAAATAGAAACATATTTTATGACCTAATTCAGGGTGTATTCATACACCTTGTTCAAACACCCTGAATAAAGTCATAAAATGTCTATATAAATTATGACCATGGCTGTAAATAATTAAAATAGATAGTTTAAATAATAATAAATATAATAAGTTAATTGCAAACCCACAATCACAACACACTAAAACAAACTTACTGCTGTTTCTCATACTCTGGATTAATTCGTTGGACGTTTTTCTGGAAATATTTGTTCAATGTTCACTAACGTTATACAGGTGCCTACACTTCCTTTTTTTTTTATTTATTTTGATTTGTATTGCATTGAGAGATTATTTTTTTATAGTTTAAAATTAAACGTATGAGATTTTGTGTATAAATAGACAAGTGACTAAATAATGCAACGGTAGGTACGTTTTCGAGCGTACGCTTGAGACAGAATGTAGCTGTCTCGTTCTCTCTCGCGAAATAGTGTACCTATTTATACATTTCTTGAATATGAACGAAATCAGCAAAACATTTTCTATAATAGAAATATACCCATTATCTAATTGAAAGTAATCTAAATAAAAAAGAGAGAATCATGATAACTAAGCAATTTAATTTCAAATTGTATTTTATCCGAACGCGTAATTAAATTTTATAGGAACAGCGCCATCTATTAGGATAATCTAAAATAATCCTATGTTCAGTCTCATGTATGCGACGGATTCTAAGAGATCTAATCGCACTTTCAACGTATGCTTTTGACACTACTCTTAGAATAGCACGGATATTAGTTACAAAGTTAATAAAATAGATAGCGCTTCACAGAGCAATCGTTACATATGGACAAACATTATTGTTACTATAATTATAAATAAATTTATAGATTATAAATTGAGTTTAATTACAAAAAAAAATATAATTCGAAAGGAATTTACTTAAATATTTTGTACTGAACTCATTTTCACAGTCAGCATGTTGCAAAGCTTGTTTTTTTATGCTATTAAAAAAGCTCAATTTTATCGTTATATTTACATAAAGGAAGAACGTATGTCGGGTCTTGTTGATACGGCATAAATAGATTTTTTTTCTGAATAGGGACACCCTATTCATCTGGCGGTCTAAAATATACTTCACGACCTGTTGTCATACCTACCAAGTATATAAATACCAAATATAAATATACAAAAAAAAAATAATTAAAATCGGTTGAGCTATAACGGAGGAGTGCGACAATAAACTCAGTAACACGAGATTTATATATACATACATAGATTTGTTACTGTAAATTTATCAAACATCAAAAATTAAGAACAAACGTTTTGTAGACAGAATTAAAAAAAAAAAGTTTCACAAGATATCTATAAAATCGTTTGAGACCAATATAATTTATTCGATTATTTTCTAAAGTCTCGTAAAATTTGTTTAACTTCTTTAGGCCGCGAAATAAACGGCGTATTAAACTACTTATTTTAATATTCAGGCAACCGTATAACGTTGTTAATTTTATATTATTTATATATAATTTTAATGTGCCATGATCAATTTCGACAGAAAGCACGACACAAATTTCGATATACGTATGTACCTAATCATACACTTACAACGAGACAACGGAGATTTATTACTTTACAAATTGACCGGTAATAAGAGGAAGCAAAATAAATTAAATAATAAAATTGAAGAAAAAAGAATAATGTTAATCCAAAACAATATTATAAAAAGGAAAGATTTGACTTTTATATTGTAGTGGAAAATAAATAAAAAATAAAAAAACATTTTAAAAATTTAAAGGAATTAAATTCCCTATAAATGGAACGGCTGTATTTTATTAAAAAAAAAGATAATACCGTGTCGAAACTTGTAAATAATAAAATAATAAAAAAAAAGTTTAATGAGTACAATAATACAAAATATTACAATTCAAGTCTAAACAGTGAAATATCGGCAGCTTCATTTAGAAGAACGCATAGAAGAGGAGCTACCATTCATTTGTCGTCTAATAAAAAAAAGGATTACGTATGTGGCAATTTTCTAAACCAATTTCGGGTATTTTTTTTACAATCTACAAGATTTATTCGCGTGTACCAATACAGAAGCACGAAAGTCGAAGGGTAATTTTATTTCCTCGTGAATAACTAACGCAACTACATCACCAATTAATAACTCATTGTTTATTAACTTTACGGAGCAAAAAAAAAATGCTTGTTAAATTTCCAAACATATAATTCCATAAATTAAAATATTTTCAACCTAATATATCTACGGGACATCTCAACCTTCATCAGTGTGTTTTGCTACTGTTAAAGTAGGTGTTCCTTGTGGAGCAAAATACTTGTTACCGGTCAATTTGTTATCTAATATAGTAAAATGTGTGTACACTTACTCGATAGCTTTAAATATCCTCTCAGAGTCCTTGCCGTGAAGAAGAGGCTGCATCGCTATTTCTTCATCGCCATCGCTCTGGTTTACTTCTTCATATCTCCTGCCGTATCGTAATATATTGTGGAGTACGTACATAATTATAATTGTATATGAATAATCCATTTGTTTTTTATTTATAATTTTCTATTTTCCTTTACTTTCACCCACTTACAAATTTATATCTTTTATTTTTCCAAAGGGAGACTTTGTACAAAAGTTTGCTTAGGCACCTCCGTCGCATTCGTGTTTTTACCGTGAAGCAATTATGTTTGGATGGCTGTGTTTCGGTTAGAAGGGTAGGGTGTGGCAATGAATTTACAGGGCACACAGGAATAACACCTGAGTCCTCAAGAGTATCATGGACGAAACAGTATACTCTGTTATGTCTATGGTACTGCTCATGTGTATAGGCGACGGTTACTACTTTCCATCAGGTGGGCCGTCAGCTTGGTTGCCAACTCTAAGTTGCATAAAAAAATTCCACATACATACATACATTTTACTTTATAACCATTATGCGAATGACAAAAAAAGCCCTCCATTACATCAGTTATAATGATTTTAAATGTATCAAATACGTTCACCACTGCGTCAGTCAACAAATCCTTTTAACTACCCCATTAACGATTACAGCCGTGAGCATAATTATTTTATTTTATATTACAAATTTTTCTTGTAGATTAGAGTATTTTTATGTGCACCAAATAAATAAAATTAAAATTAAAAATTCGAAACCCTGCAATAAAATCATAATAAGTAAGCAAAAAAAGGCTTTAAAAGAGATTGTAGAAAAGCCTATTTAAATAAAGATATTCTGTAGCTCTGTATATATCTGCATATTTGTCAACTAACAAAGTTACGAGTATGAGAGAAAAATTCAATATAGTTCTTTATTTGTAAAAAAAATAAAGCAAAAAACAATATTTGGTTTAATTGTTTACACTTACATCTCTTCTTCTGGTATCTTCCCGTCCATACCTAGTTCTCTCCTCATCATTGCGCTCAAATTTTGATTTTCCTTCTCACCTGAAATGGCGACTTAATTAATTTGTTAATAAATTAATTAAATTATTTAATGCTATTAAAAATGCTGTTTTTATATTCTTATATGCTCAATGAAATATAGATAGGTTGAGTATCAGATTCATCACGATGGCAAAAATCGACAAATGCTTCCAACTACTCTATTAGGTCTTCACTAAGTGATCCCTATATAGAATGGGCCATCCCTTCCTTTCCCGTGGATTTAGTAAGAGGCGTCTAAGAGAACTTCACAGTTGAAGGATGGGAAACATCGTCCTTCTTTAAACATTACCGAAGCCTAACTGAAGTTACCAATCCGCCTGCCAAACGTGACAACTACTAGCTAAACCCCTCTTAGTGAAGAGCCAATTTTCAGCAGTGGACTTTTTTTTTAGCTAAAAATCGGGTACACAATTTGTTATACAGTGGTTACTACGCTAGGCTCGCAGGCCTGTATCGTAGTAGTCAGTGAGTGGCTAATTAAGCTAGTTCATATTTATTGCCATTTACAGTCTGCTTCTTGTACAATTTTATCATTTAGGTACTCGAAACTACGTACTTCACTATGTATTACAGTTGTGAACATGTTCACTCTTATATTTTATTGTACATCCAAGTAATTACCTAAAGAAAATGTAAATAATACTCACTAGGCATTTTCAATTTGACTGAAGGCGGTGGATTTTTCCTATCTCGTCCGTAGATACTCTCCCGACCGTGTCGTTTGATTGTCGTCCATACAGAACCGAACAATGTATGGTTACGCTGGAGAAAAATTATAAAACTTGAATTGTCTAACCAACTCCATGTTGTTCATATTTTTAATAAATAAATGATTGAATAATACTGATACATATTTGTTAGAAACTGGAGTGACTGTATTTATCTTAAAATTTGTTAAATTAACTTCCAAACCAAAAAAAAATCCATTTATTGTTTTTCGAAAAAAAAAAGAGGGGTTTTGTTACACTAATATGACGACATTACTGAGTCAATTTACTCCCATGTTTGTTTCATAATAATTTGAGACGATTAAAATTTTTCTCTGTTAAATCAAATCTTGTTACCTGCAAAGGAAAATCTACTATTTTACTATTTTGTATTTAACTTACCCTATGCATTGGTTCGACAGTTTCTGCAACAACCTCGTCCAAGTTTCCTGATATGGCTCTTTTGAGCTCAGGACCAGCTTCGTGCAAGGTCCTCAAACCAGCCTGCAATGTCATCTGGTTGTTCTGTAAGGACGCTGCCGCCGCTTGTTCCTTGCGCTTTCTGAACCTGTCATATTATTTGCCCACGTAGAGGACACAAATTTCAACTCCACTACTCCCAAACTTTAGGTGTAAAATCCAAAAAATTTAAAACTTGCACTTCAAAGACTAGTTTCAAACGTGATTATCAAATAAAATAATGCCAAAGTCAAAGAATAAATGCCAAAACATGTCTTCTCGGTCTCGAACTTTACAATCAATTGCTCAAAATGAGTAAATGTGTAATTTTCATTCATGAACAAGTTAGAGAAGCCAAATGTAATATAAATTGTCTGTGACATGCATAAACATTTGACGAACACATAATAATTTCATCACGCAAATGAGCACTCAATAGAACAAAGGAAGTAAATTATAAGAATTGTGCGAATCGAAACAAGTGATTGTAAAACATCAAAGAGTTATTATCATACGGAGAAAACATGCTTTCAATAGATCAATAGGTATCACTGAAAAATGTCATGCTAGAATAAAAACTTGAACCAAAAAATATAAATGCTTCGGCTCGGCGGAGTATATAGCACCTTTAAATGCATGGAAGCTATTAGACAAATTTTTTAAAATATTATGCAATCATTATGCAAAAGATCTGCTTGAGAAACTCTAAAAGACATTCCCAAAAATAAGTTTATATTACTTTTATGTATTTATCATATAAATAAACGATTGCATAATTCTTATGTCAAAAGACGCAGTAAAAACAGGTACAAATACCAAATCAATGTTTCAGATTTCTTTGGAATAAAATAATGAACAAGCAACATCCTTGGTTATCGACACACTGGTATTGCGACCAAGGAAGAAAAGCATAGAATGCAGCGGAATAAATCGTTGAGTTGCTTAAAACTTGGAATACAACTTACGCATGGTTCCTATAAAACAAAAAACTTGTTAATCTCAATTGTAAATACCATGAGGAGAAAGAAGTCAATCTACGTAACAAACTACATAATTTATGTTATATTAACTATTTGTAATACTCAATCATCATAAATAATACCGTAAATATATAATATAATTAGTAATCTACTGAAAGTTAGATTAAATTTATAAGAATTTATTAAATTTCTCGTGACGTGAATATGATGATATCCTTAGATGAGATCTATTTGCGAGTTAATTTTTTTCAATTAGACAAAGATAAAAGATGAAAAGAAAGGCAATTAAAATTATGTTAAATCAAATTTATAACACAACTAACCTTCTAAAGTAATCTTGAATAAGGAAGGTAGCATAGAACTTGCCAACTGTGATCTCATTGGGATCACCAGGTGGAGGCACTACCTGGTCCAGAAGTTTAGGAGATGTCCGTTTCCATACTTTTTTAATGATGGCTCGTAGTTCCGTGTTACATTCGTCTATTACACCTGTTGTACAATATTAATTATTTAAAAGTCATTTTTAATTGAAACAGCTTTTATGGTGTATAAGTATATAAATAAATTCTTAGTCATTTGTACAAGTGTATCTATTGTTTGCATTTTATTTTTATACATAGTAAACAAGCAAATTTACACTTAATAAAAATTTGAAATAAAAAAAAAATACATTTATTTTAATAAATTAGAATATCAACATATCAAACATGCAAGCTATCACACTTATTTTTAATATATTAAAACAAACCTGAAGTCTTTATCTGCAGCTGGGTTCGAACAACAGCAAATAGTGTGGCGTTAAAATTGACCGTGCCATCAGAGTTTAGGGGCATGTTCATTGACACGAGACGTTTACACGCTGTTCTATGTGGACACAGTTTACCGAAACCTGAAAGAAGATATTACAGCTATTCATATTACTAGGCCGTTTCTTCATTATTTCTTCTGTCTTTTAACCAATATATTTTTTTACTTCAACAATCTTCTAAATATGCCTAATAAAGTATGTATTAAGATTTTCTTTATCTGACCAGTACTATGAAAGTATGCCTTTGAATACCTTACTAATACAACAAAATTGTGAATTGTAGACGTTATTTGTATGTGCGAAATTTAATATGATGGGTCTTAATAAACATGAAAAGATGCCAAAACAATGATTTTCAAAATTTCTATCTAACTGTATGTTTGTTCCAATATCACGCAAAAACAACTGCACCAAATTAGATGCAGTTTCCACAGTTGTATTTCTGAAGGGCTAGCTTAAAAATTTGTGTATGTTTTATCTTGATATACCATCTAGAAATCGTATATCAAGACAAAACATACATAAATCTATTTCATTAATTTCCCTACTGAAATGTACGCATACAAATTAGCGGACAAAAAATAAATAATAACAACACTTAGATACTAAATCTAGAACAACCATTTGTGATTCCGATTGTGATTGTGAATACAAAGTTGGAATTAATGTAATAAGAATGCAGCCTTTACATTCCGCTATCATTTACACGAAAGCTTGTATTAATGTGACTTGATTTACCCAAAGGCGGACTAATTTTTCTTAATAAAGTAACGACATCCAAGTGTTTTATTCTTCCTTTTGCATCCGGATCGTATTCACTCCACAATCTGTAAATGTATAAAATTATTTTAGTACCTATTTATCCCTTTTACAGATAGAAAGATTAAGCTAACATTATAATCCGAAAGATGGCGGTAGGCTCGCCTACGTTAGATTCTAATTATGCTCGATGAAATGTTGCACGTAGAATATTCAATTCACCACACTTTTAATATTCGACAAATGCCTTTTAGCAAAATTAAGTATGCTCACGACCTTAAGTCAAGGATATTTTTGTACTTCTTCACTTCTATTCCATTGTACGAGCTAATAACAACGTTATGATCTAGAACTTTATATAGATTTTTGTTTAACAAATATCGTGCTCTTTCCTGTACAAAACTGTAATAAATCGAACAATAAATGACAAATTCCTTGTAAAAATAATGCAAAAATAAATACAATACATATTCATAAAACCTTCAATATAACGTTCCTTATTTTATCTTGGGGTATACTAGTTTGTTATTTATTCATTTACATAAATATCTACTCACCTGACAAACTCGTCTAGATGATGGGGTCCTAATATGGACCAATCTCTCGTTAGATAATCGAAATTGTCCATGATGACGGCTACGAACAAGTTGATAATCTGTAAATTAAATTTATATTTTTACTATTGCAGAAATAGAAGTGTTCAATAATCTTTGTTTTTCATCTACACATTTTATGTAATTGTTTCTTTCTTTATTGTTAAAGAGTTTTCATTTATTCATTCCCTATATGACACGACATCATTATCATCAGTATTATAATGATCAAAAAATAAAACTGTGTGAATTACTAAGAGCTAGACTATATCTTACAAGACTATATTTGAAAAAGCATAAAATTTGCGCACAGAATAAAAAGAAATATTCATTAATATGGACAATTTAACTTTACATATTTTTTTATTCATCATTATCACTACTCACTACTCACTACTTCCTATGCCAGAGGGAGACTTTGTACGAAAGTCGATCAGCGTATTTCAACCGTGAAGCAGTTGTGTTTGCATGGCTGTGTTTCGGTTTGAAGGGTGGGATATGGCGTGAATTTACTGGGTACAGAGGAATAACACCTGAGTCCTCAGGAATGGCATCGCATGGGGGGTATCATGGGCGAAACAGTATACTCTGTTATGTCCATGGTACTGCTCATGTCTATAGGCGACGGTTACCACTTTCCATCAGGTGGGCCGTCAGCTTGTTTGCCATTTTAAGTTGTATAAAAAAAAAAAAAAAAAAAAAAAAAAATGCCACTGCGTTAGGTTGACTGGAAGAAATCTCTTTTAGAGATAAGTTCGCCTTTGCTAACATTGTTATTAACTTATTGTTGTTACTGTATGTTTTAGTGCAATAAAGAATATATATATATCATCGACATATCAGCCTTTAATCATCTACTGCTGAACATAAGCCTCCCCTTGGGAAGTTTCGCAACATTTGCCATGCTTGTCAGGCGGATTGGCAAAACCTAACTGTGGTTAATTTTCAGAGGTGTTTTAAAAGGGACGCTGCTGCTTATCTTTCGCCCTCCCTTATTCCATTCTTACGACATTCACGGAAAAGGAAGGGGTCGCCTATTCTATGCCAGTATCTCATATAATATTACTTTCTTATTGAGAATAATTTATTAAAAGCGCTAATTCAAATGTAAAAGTCATATTGAGAATACAAAAATGTAGATTTTATATACATATATAAAATTAAAATAAAGCATCAATTAATATTATGACAATATTTTACCAGGAAAGTACAAAGCAAAGAGAATGATATGAAGTAAGGGAACGCCATCCAATTGCCGCACAATTCGTCCCCATTGTCAGTGTTTGGGACGCCGTCTATGGGCTCTGACTTTATGCACTTTGGTGGATCATCGGGACGTTCGTCAATGTTGGGGGATAATGCCATCATAATCTCTTGCCAGGCTTCACCTGCAAATATATGTGATGATCTATCATCAATATAATCAATATCCCATAATATTCTCCGTTTCGACACCCATACTAATATTATAAATGTAAAAGTGAGTTTATTTGTTACATTTTGCGTCTTAACTGCTAAACTAATTATCACGATATTTGGTTGCACGTACTACAATATTTGGTATGGAGAAGGACATAAGCGACTTATCCCGGTCAAAGAAATATATCCCTGCCACGCAAACGAAGTCGCAGGAAAAAGCTAGTAACAACATATGACAGTGTCATTATGCAAACAATACCAATAGAATCCCCAGTACACATAATTATCATGTCAGTTCTAACTCTTTGGATAATTTAAGATTAAATCGAAAGATATATTATGAACAATAACTATGTATCGACGATACTACATCATAATAGATATTGCATGTCTTGTACTGTGTAATGTCGTTGGTAAAAATAGTGGTCATTCTTGATTTTGGAAAATTACAATTTTTTTTTTTAGTTTTAGTAATTTAAATTCGATTTTCTTAAGTAAATAAATTGGGGATTTTATTAATGAGTAATACGACTGGTTTAAAGGCATGAATTTCGTTAATTAATATACTGTATATTTAAAGATTGTTACCCACAAAAAAACCGACTTCAATCAAGACAAAATCATTTATAATGATCTAAAAATTAAAATACTGAACTGATTTTGATAAAATTTCTATGAATCCAATCTGTGAGTATAACCTTTCAGATAAAAAAATAATTTTTCAAATCGGTTTAAAAATAACGGAGTTATGAGGTAACAAACATACAAAAAATACAACTGAATTGAGAATCTCCTTCTTTGTAAGTCGTTGATAAAATAGAGATAGATGAAGTAAACATGGATTAAGTTCCAATAGATAAAAAAGTTAACGAATGAATGTAATGTAAAATTACCTGTAGCTGATCTAAATAAGACCATAAGAGCGCTGCCGAACGATTGAAAGTTGTTATGCCTCGTGATCTGATCGTCATCAAAATTGATTTTACCAAATAACTGAAACGAAATGTGCAAATTAAATTATTTATTAATTTACGATATACCTTCCTAAATAAATGCCCGCAGCCAAGAACTTTTTTTTAATAAGAATTGAGATCTCATTTATTTATTCATCAATCACACATCATACATTCGTCATTCATGCATCAATCAGATATCATTAATTTGTTATTAATTCATTAATTCTCTCTTCTTATTAGTCCCTTATCACCAGAATACTTGAAATGTAGATTCAAATATCTTTGTGATTCTCATACACGCGAACTTCGTTCTAACGACTCTCTTGTTCTCTCTATTCCTCTACATCGTTCTGCTTTTGTTTCCAATTCCTTTACTCTTGAGGCCTCACGACTCTGGAATGCGCTACCCATGGACATAAGACAAATTTCTAACAAATTCATTTTTAAGAGAAAAGTCTACGAATATCTTTGGAAAAAACTGTGAAAGCAGTTCACCTTCATCATCATCACTTTCATCTCTATCGTTGTTTATTTGTGTTATCGTATATAATCTATAAGTAGGTATATTTATATATGTATATTTATATTTGTATATATGTATTTTTATTACATATTTGTATATTTATGTAATATTTGTTTAATATATTCATGTATGTATATTTATATAATCTCTATTGTATGTGTTGTAATTTTTTTTCACCGCATATTAAAATTTCTGTTTTGCCAAAGGTTGACTGCGAGAGAATGCTATATAGTATTAAGTCCGCCTTTTGTACCAGACATTTTTTTTTGTAATGTGGTCAATAAAGCATAAATAAATAAATAAATTAATCGAGCATTATTCATTCATCATTCATCGTTCAGTTCTAATTCATTATTCATCCCTTAACATCATTGTTGTTTGTTCATTAATTTATTCATTATTCGTACAATCATTAATTTATTCATTCAATAGTTGTATAACACCATACCTGCATCCCAACAACAGCGTAGATGAAAAACAGCAGCACAATCAACAGGGCGACGTAGGGCAGCGCTTGGAACGATTTGATGAACGTCCACAGGAGGGTTCGGATCCTCTCCCCTCGGGACAGCAACTTGATCAGACGCATCGCGCGGAACAGACGGAAGAATGTGATGTATTTTAGAAGACTGCCCTGTAAAGTTGTAAATATATTTTTATATATATACGTATGTATATCTACATATAGGGAAAATCTAAATCGTCATTCTTTTAAGGTGGTGCTATCAATTTAAAATTTCATTCATCATTTAATATTCATCACTAATCATTCATCCACCATTTATTCATCATTCATTAACCAATTATTAACCATATGTTCATCAATCGTACATCATTCATTATACATGTTACATGTATTTAGGAGTAAGTTATGTTACATCATCATATCAGACGGTAACTGTCCACAGAACATAGGCCTCCCCCTATGGGGAGCTTTGCCAATAATTGGCACGCTTGGCAAGCGGGTTGGCAACCGCAGTTAGGCTTTTAATGATGTTTTAAAAGGGACGCTGTTGCCTCGACCATTAAGTTCCCTTATTTGCCTCTTACGACACCTACGGGAAAGATAGGGGTGGTTCATTCTATGCCGGGACCACACGGCAAACATTACATACGTTATATATACGAGTATTGTTATAAGTTGAATTGTACTCCTGCTTCCTATATTCTTCACTAAATGTTAAGCTAGTATGATATTGTGAATTTATCTCGTCTCTGAAAGTCTTACCTCTTTACTTGCTTTACTTGTAGTAAACTGAAAATAAAAAAAAAACAGTTTATTAATATTTATTTTCTACACATGTATTATTTATATTCTATAATATCGTACCCAAGTCTCTTATTTTCTCTTTATTTTGTAATAGCTTTTTAATCTAATTTTTTTAATACGAAATTTGTGATAGTCATTTTGTTTGTAAAATATGCTGGTTCTTGTTTTGTATATATTATTTATTAATTATATTAGTTGTAAAATAAAAATGCCGTCTGTTGACTTGAAGTATTGTATGTATATTTTGTTCTATTTCAATTGTTTATCAATTTTCTCTTTTATAAAAAACTACAAATGTCAATATATAAAAAGGTTAATTTTGAACACATTTTATTCATTCATATTTTTTGTTGAAAAAAATATAAATAAATAATGATATTCACCACGGTAACCGGTTTGTTCTCATTGACCTGAGTGACGACTATGTCAATGATACTGCCGATGACTAAAATAAAATCAGTTGTGTTCCACGCGTCGCCGAAGTAATTCTGAAAATACAAACAAGACAATTTAATAAAATAGAACAAAAACACAAAAATAAATCTAGAATAATAATTGCAAAAATATTAACAAAAAGCAATGTAATGTATGCTGAAATATAACCTGTAATTTATTATACGTCTGTCATCATCATCAATACTAGCCTTTAACTGACCACTGCTAAACATAAGCCACCCCCTTGAAGCGTTTTGCCAGTAGTCGTCACGTTTGGCAGGCGAATTAGCAACCGCAGTCAGGCTTTGGAGATATTTTAAGAGGAACGCTGCTTCCCATCCCTCGTCCTCCCTTAGTTGGCTCTTACGACACCCACGGGAAAGGAAAGGATAGCCTATTCTATTTAGAAGTATGTTTTAATAACGTACCTTGAATCTGAAGGCTGCCAATTTAAAAACAAATTCCAACATGAAAACAGTCGTCAGAATCATGTTTAGATAGTCCAGAACCTGAAAATTTAAAATAATTATGTATTTCGCTGTGTGACAGAATCTGAAATAAGTATAACCATAGTAGAACTAAATAGACCGAGATATAGTTCGAAAAATTTTTAATTGGTGGCAATGGAATGGTAACCCCGACTGCTCTATCGGTATAAGCTGGTGGGACACCAGTGAGAGATGATAAATGAGAATGAAATGGGTCAGATAGCCCATCATGACTAATTCAAGAATTAACCACGATATTTTTTATTTTCAAGGGGAAATCGCGTGGAGATCGTCCTGATAAGGTGGATTGCTAGCAATGGCGATGTTAGACTCCATTATTAACAATCCCTTTCCCTCAGCTCGAATATTTGCAGCATAAAGGTATATAGAGAGGAAGTCGGGTGGGCCTTGTCCATCACAGACAAAGATTGGTAAAAAAATGTCTGAGAATACATCTCTCAGACATGTTTTTACATGCCTTTTCAAAGGGCTAAAAACTTTTGATTTTAATTACATAAATGTTGAACTAAGTTAACATCAGTTAAATTAAATAGTTAAATATTTCCTATAAGAACTGTTGAATTAAAATAATTTTAATTGCATTAAATTGTTGATCATTGTATATATAAAATGTTGAACTAAAATAAAATCAGTTAATTTAATAGTTGATTATTTTCTACATATACTGTTGAATTAAATTAATTTTAATTACATTAAATTGTTGATCACTGTGTACATAAAATGTTGCACTAAATTAAAATCAGTTAATTTAATAGTTGATTATTTTCTACATATACTGTTGAATTAAAATCATTTTAATTGCATTAAATTGTTGATCACTGTATACATAAAATGTTGAACTAAAATAAAATCAGTTAATTTAATAGTTGATTATTTTCTACATATACTGTTGAATTAAATTAATTTTAATTACATTAAATTGTTGATCACTGTGTACATAAAATGTTGCACTAAATTAAAATCAGTTAATTTAAATGGTTGATTATATTCTACATATACTGTTGAATTAAATTCATTTTAATTACATTAAATTGTTGATCATTGTTTAGATAAAATGTTGCACTAAATTAACATCAGTTAAATTAAATGGTTGACTACTTCCTATATAAAGTGCTGAATTAAATCAATTTTAATTAAATTAAATTGTTAATTAATGTCTACATACCTTCTTGTACTCCGGCGAGGCTCCGTCGAACTTCATCATCAGCGCCACTGTGTTCAACACGATGAAGAAGAATATGAAGTATTCAAACTTCTGTGACGTCACGAACCACCAAGTCTTGTACTGGATCCGATGTTTGGGGATATACCTATAAAGTTACAAATAAATAAATACCACTGGAATATATTATGCCGGGTATAGATCGGTGCAATGTTTTATAAAATAGGTAAATGTGCATCTTGTTATATGACTGCATTAATCCCGCAACTTCGCCTATGTGAATCAATACATGAAGTATACTATGTGCTAAGTTAGAATATATATATGTGTACCACATTCCATTCAAATCTTAGATATATTTAAATGGAATACGATATAGTATTTTTTTATGTAACTTAGAGTCGCAAACAAGCTAATGGTCCACCTAATGAAAAGTGGTAATCGTCACTTATAGACATGACCAGTACCATGGACATAACAGAGTATACTGTTTCAACCATGATACCCCCCATTTCTTCAGGGTCGGCAACGCGCGCGTAATACCTCTGGTATTGCAGGCGTTCATAGGCTACAGTAACCGCTTACCATCAGGTGGGCCGTATGCTTGTTTGCCACCTCAGTGGTATAAAAAAAAAAAATGTGTTGCCGTTCCCTGTAATTTCCGTAAAAATAAGAAATATACATTCATCTTTACATTTATAATATTAATGGGATTAACATCTCAGTTTGCAATCAGAGAACTTATTAAATAATTAGAAATAAGGAAAATTGTACAACTGGTTATTTGATGATGATTAGAATTATTTTGTTTATTTCCGTTACCACTAGTATGTGTGCGACTGTCAACACTCGAAGATTCACCACCAAAATTACTAGCAGAAGTTTCACAACCTTCCATATTAGCCCTCAATCTCCCGACTGCATTTCGTCCACACAAGTCATTCAACACGTGTTTACCATTAAACGAAGCATCTTCAAGCAAATTATTAGATCGCTACTCCAAACCTAGTGTTAACCGACACATTCATATTACGAATGTCTAATTAAAGTGGACAACTGTATGTAAATTGACAGGTAATTCAGAAGTCGCCACGCTTAGATGATTTTTGGTTAAGGTACTCAGAAATTAAATCCATCCTTAGGTTTAACCGTAAATCAGTTATGTTTGCATAGCTGTGTTTCGGTTTGAAGGGTAGGTAGGATATGGCGTGAATTTACAGGGTACAGAGGAATAACACGTGAGTCGTGGCAACGCATGGGGGGTATCATGGACGAAAAAATATACTCCGTTATGTCCATGGTACTGCTCTTGTCTTTAGGCGACGGTTACCACTTTCCATCAGGTGGGCCATCAGCTTTTTTGACATTCTAAGTTGTATAAAAAAAAAGATATTTTAGTATGGATACTTTTAAATGACGCTGCAAATTTACCTTCTAATTGGTTTTGCTTTCAAAGCGAATTCTATGCAGTTCCTTTGATTCTTGTCCAGTTCGCAATCCTTGAACTCCTGCTCGCCCTCTTTCTGGAATGTGACTATGACGAAACCTACGAAGATGTTCACCTGGTAACAGAGATAATTATCTTGTTAATATAATAAAATTGTAACAGAACGATGAAAGATATTTAAAGAAAGTTTAATACGAGGGGTTTTATTAATGTCAGTATGAGTAGAAGCCAAATTAATATTTTTTTTTTACAAATTTTGTCTGTCTATTTCTTTCGACATCACGCAAAAACTACTGCATCAAATTGGATACAGTTTTCATAGTTGTATTCCTGAAAGTATAATTTAAAATCCCGTCTGTTTTATCGTGTTAAGTCATCTATAAGTGATCTATGCCATCATTGGTTTTCCTACTTTTAAAATCCACGCGTACAAAGTAACGAGCAATAATCTAGTTTATAAATAAATAAATTTCACTCGACGTAGTCAGTTTTACTACGATAAATAATTTAAAGCAATACTTATCTAAACATCGTTTAACAGAACTTTAAGTGCTTAATTATTGTTTAATCGATGTTTATGTTTATTTGTAAGAATTTTTATCTGCCAAATGAAATGTTTACACATCTACAGCATTTATAAGGAGACACTATCTTTCTAAATCTCATTGATCTAGTTGAAATATAATTATTTAATAATATAATCAACCGACTTCAAAATAGGAAAAATTCCAATTCGATTTTTTTTTATGTTTCTAACCTCATTACTCTGTCATTTATAAACAGATTTGGAAAATTCTTTTTTATTTAAAAGCATTTACTTTCATGTCAGTTTTATAGATATTTTATCAAAATCGATTTAGTAATTTAGTTTTTAAATCAAAACAACCGATTTTGTCATGACTGAAATCAGTGTTTATTGTGTGAAACAAAAACTGAAGTTATTATTTTTAAATGTAACATAGTATATTTTCATTGTAACTCACCATGAAGAACGCTATAACGATAATATAACTTATATAGAAGAATGCAACAAGGGGTCTAGAATTTTCTATGGGGCCGTAGTTCTCCTCGTTCGAATCCATAGACGTTGAAAGTAAACTGAAATTAAAAGAAATAGACTTTAATACAGACAACGCCATCTATTGTTAGATAACTTAAGATATATTTTAATACACTTTTTCTCTAAGTACATATATTATAAACATGAATGAATAATAACTGTATTTGTCTTAATATTATGACATTAGAAGTATTTAATGTTAACAACAGTACCCTATGTCGTGGAACTAGACATTTCCTGTCGATCAGTCAACGTCAGTCAAGAATATATTTTGCTGCTCTGTTTTTAGAAACACTCTCTATGTAATCTGTGGTAGCAATCATATGTCATGTATGTCAGAGAAAGACTATTAAAATTTATATTATATCTTTGTATTATATCCACATAAATTAATGTTAATAATAAATGAGTATTGTATCAACGATCTTATTTTATTATTAATAAACAATACACCCTATATTCAGCCGTGTGGCGTGAAAATATTTAATTTGGAACTTGTCATTAAAATTTTACATTAAAATAGTCTTCAAGTAAGTAAAAGAAATTGTATATGTTTATAACAAACATAAAAACTTGACTTTAGGTCACTTCTGATTATGATTTTATAGTACCAACTTGCAGGATCATCATCATCATCATCATATCAGCCTTTAATTGTCCACTGCTAAACTTAAGCCTCCCTTTTGGGAGGTTATGCCAATAGTTGTCACGCTTAGTAGGCGGATTAGCAACCGCAGTTTGGCTTTAGGGATGTTTTAAGAGAGACGCTGCTGCCCATCCCTCGCCTTCTCTTAGTCGCTTCTTAAGACACCTACGAGAAAGGAAGGGGTGGTCTATTCTATGCTGGAAATAGCCAATTTTCAGGACAGTTCGAATTAATTTTAAATTTAAAACTGTCAGAATTTTAAGTAGTGATGTACACTTAAAACCTAATTGTATAGTTGTTTGTTTAAATAAACAAAATAAAACAATTACTTTGGCCATCCCTCGAAGGTCGATACGGTGAACAGAGTAAGCATGCCGCTCAGTACATCGTCAAAATTGAATTTATTCTTTTTCCAAACTCTGTCCTCGATGGACGCTTTCCCACCATTGTACACTAGATATGTACCCCTAAAATGTAAATAAAATAATAAATATATATATAATAATATAAATATACAATAATTCATCGCCTACTTATTTCACTGTTTGCTCAATGGTTGACTGGTAGAGAACACCGTCCGGTGCTAAGTCCGCCAAATGTACATAGTTTCAATGTGCATTCAAGTTTAAATAAAAAAAGAAAAAAAAATGAATAATTTCATCAAATGCCTTAATCTACAAATTATTTTATCATTAAATATAAGATTTATATATCTTTATTAAATAAATAATTAGCAATTTATGGACAATCTAATTTATATAAAAGTGCATCGCTAAATACGTGCTAATGGCAAAACTCGAGAACAGCTGGACCGATTTGACTGATTTCTTTTAGGTAATATTCAATAACGTCTAAAAAGATTGAAGAATTTGCCTGGAAAAACGTAAAATCTAAACAAACTGTTATTAATAGTACATTTTCATCATGGATTGACTTTGATAGTTTTTGAGAAAAAAACTTTGTCGTGGCAACTAGTACTCAAGTAATAAAAAGTAAATAAAAATGTAGTTCTGATAAAGTTTTATTTACTTTGTTAAACTTGCATTAAATAAATATAATTTTAACACCATCACCATTTCAGCCATTATCTGTCCACTGCTGGACATAGGCCTCCACCATAGACAGCCATAATGAACGGTCCTGAGCCACCTACCTACATCCAATGACCCCTTGCAATGCATTTGAGGTCGTCACTCGTTCTAGTGAGGGGTCATCCTATACTGCGTTTGCCCATACGGACAAATATAATTTAATTGTTTATATACAATTTATATTGGCAATATATAAGTAAATTAAATTAAACTGTTAAATGTATCTAATATTATTTTATTTATTTTGTTTAATATTTAATATTAATCTAAAATTTATAAACACAACTTACTTGGGCAATATATACACATGTGAATGTACGTAGATGTTACATACATTAAGTGAAATTAAAAAATAACGAATAGCTTTATTTTATTTATTCACTAATTACATTACGTCTAGCGTTAGGTATAGTGGTTCTCAAACTTTAGATACATCGCGTAAGGGTTTTATTAATTAGCTATACCTAAAAAACGTTTAAAATAAACTTTATATTGAATAAAAAATTGACATAATCGTTACATTTTTTAAAGTTTAATAGTAACGTATTATTATAACTTACCGACAATCTTCGTATGTCAATTTTGTAACATCAGTGCATCTAAAGAATTTTCCCTGAAACCAAACTTGCATTAGTATTACAAGACAAAAAATATATATATAAAAAAAAATACAACAAAGATAAGACAAATCACTTAAATGCAATTTAATAATGATCTAAAGCTAAGCACATTAATAGACAAATTAGCACAAATTGCAGGGTTATGAACATGGCAATCTTTTTCATAAACACTCGTATAATCCTTTCATTAAATTCCAGAAAATATTTCAAAAAAGAAAAAATAACCTCAAACTAGTTAGCACTTTTTCTGTCACCTTATAATTTTGAAGACAATTTAAATAGATTACTAAATGTTTTTTTTTAATTTTTAAGTTTTTAACATGAACCTATAGCTCACTACACTTTTCAGGATATAGCGTAAGTGATGTGAGCAAATTATTCTTAAAAAAATAAACATATAAATATATATGAGCTAGTACGTAGAATCGTTATTTACCTTAAACAATTGTATACCAATTACAGAAAACATAAATTGTAAAACGTTATTAATGAGAAAAATGTTTCCAATTGACTTTATAGAGGTAATCACACACTTTACAACATACTGTTAAAACAACAAGGGCACAAAAGTGTTAGGACACATATCACATACACTTTACCAAATTATTGAGACATTTTTATTTATTTTATTTTTATTTTCACCCATTTTGTTCCAATGTGCGTAATGTGTTGATGTGTACATTGCACGATGTATGTATTTTGTGTGGAGGAGAAAAAATGCAAAAAAAATATATTAAAAAAAAACAAAGTATATAGCATTAGTTCTTGGTGTTGGAACTAAAATTAATCACACATTTGTCAGTGTCCTGATCTGACCGTGAATCAATAAATCATCAACCAAATATTTAAAAAAAAACCACACAAATTAATCAAGTACCTCACTTCTAGTACACGAAAATGTCAAGGTAGGGAGGGTTGTGCAAATAAAACAATAAAGCACTTTTGAGTCCAAAAAATCATTTAGAAAATAATTTAATAAATTCATCAGCGGTACACAACACCTTTGGGCGAATATAAATAAAACACATAGAAAGCATGCGAATCACTTGCGATGAATAAAAATTTTTTGGACCCACGAATAGAAAGCGAAAAAACAATGTTAGTTCCAAATTCGATAGAGCTAAAAGCCTCACACACAAAAATAAATTAAGTCACATGTTTTTTTTTCTATTTTCAAAATAAAAAGTACACGTGTTTCATAATTCGATTAAATGCATACTTACTTTCACAATGTTTTATAGTGAAATCAATAATTGACCCAAAGGTGTCGTCAAAAAAGAAAAAAAAGTCTCCCTACCTTGAACATTTGCACCCCCATGACGGCAAACATAAATTGTAGTAGATTTGTCACCAACAGAATGTTGCCGATCGTTTTTATAGCAACGATCACGCACTGTACTACATGCTAAAAATTGACAAAACATTTTTTTTTATAAAGTCTTTTTCTTTTTAATATTTCTTTTTTAATAACATTTTATTTTGATTACATGTTTGACAAACACTGACCTTAAGTCCTTTCGCTCTGTTGATGGCTCTCAGAGGTCTCAATACACGGAATACCCTCAAAATTTTTATAAAAGACACATTACTGGACCTGTTGATAGCAACGCTTAAATTTAATCTCCGCTATAAAATATTACATAATAGAATCTTAAGAATAAAAAAAACATCATCATTATCATATCAGCTGTTGTGTCCACTGCTGAACATAAGTCTCTCCTACAAACAGTCATAAGGAATGGTCCAGAACCACCTGCATCCACTAACTCCCTGCAATGCATTTGAGATCGTCATTCCATCTAATGGGAGGCCATTCCACACGATGGTGAATAAATATCTTCTGGAGAGCTCCATCCTATATCTTATCATCACTTACCATCAGGTGAGGTAAGATCAAGTACTAACCAATCTTTTATAAAAACAAAAAATAATAAATAAAAAGTAATCAATGTCTAACTAGGTATGTTCATACACAATGGGAATTTTATGAACTTACCGTGTCTGTCGTCTCTGACAATAGTTACAACTTCATCCAGAAGCCTTCTTTAGGAGACAAACACAATAAGTTTGATAAATTCCCGTTATACATCCATAAAGACATCATATTAAAAAATAAAAAAAAAGTTTTAAAAATAATAAAATTTAATAGCTACATACCCACTCAGCGATATAAGCGAGACAATCACGACTAGCATGTCGAGCAAGTTGAAAGCCGACCGGCAAAATGCATCCTTGTGCAATATGAAGCCGTATGTGATCAGTTTGAGGACCAGCTCTAACGTGAACACCGTGGTGAAGAAGTAGTCTATTTTGCGTAGCGTCTGGAAGCGAATATCGATCGATCAATCGGTCATTAACCTTTCTACTAAATCTCCCACTAGTACGAGTACTGTTTCTAGTTGAATTATTATTATTTCACTGCTAGACATAATTCCCTTATCCAATTATTTCACTGCCATATCCCAACTGAAATATAGACTTCCAAGCATAGCTGCTTTACGACAGAATTACGACAGAGACTCCCATGCACTTGATTTTTGCATAAAAGTTTCTCTTTGGTACGTACTTAATCATCATCGTCTTATTAGTGGTTTACTGTCCACTGTTGAACATAGGCATATGAGGGACCATAAAGGTAGTTTTGTCAATAGTTGCCACGCTTGGCAGGCGGGTTGGCAACCGCAGTTAGTCTTTATTGATGTTTAACCACTTAATACGAGAGTTTTTCTGTGAAATGAGGTCAACTGGCGCACTAGCGGAGGGAAAGGGATTGTTAGTAATGGAGACTAAGAATCCCATTGCTAGCAATATACCCAACCAGGTCGACCTCCTCGCGGTTCCCCCTGGAAACTATCATGGTTAATTCCTGATAAATTCATCATGATGGGCTAACTGGCCTGTTTTCATTCTCATCTATCACCCTTCACTGGTGCTCCGCAAGCGTATACCGTTAGCGCAAGCGGGGTTACCATTACATTTAAATCCACCAAAAAAAACTAGCGCACTAGCGCACGCACTAAATTCAAACGAACATACATTAAATGTACACTAAGCTCTATGAAATACAAACGGGCGAGAAGGTATCGCTCTAGATAAAAATATAAACATAATATTTATAAGTGCCAAGAGGTACTCAGGATAGTGTAAATCGGAATACATTTGATACGCGAGAAGGTCTCGTTCGAGATGCTTAAGTGGTTAAAGAGGAACGCCGCTGCCCATCTTTTGACAATTAAGTTACAATAAAATAAAGGTATATAACTCTAAAACTGTCCTACCTCAGTCTTCAATTCTGATCCTTTCCCGCCAACAGGGTCCTCCATGGCTAACATGAGAGACGACGCCAAAATACAAACTAGGATCAAATTTTTGAACCAAGAATTATTCTGTAGCTTGTAACACGAAACACGAAGCCTGAAAGACGAAGTTCAAGATAAATTAACATTTTTCAGTTATGAAATTTAAAATGGGTAATAAGCTTATAGGCCAGCTGATGGAAAATTGTAACCATCACCTATAGAACAGCACCATCGATATCACAGAATATACTGTGAGGTGAGACCTTATAGATGATTCTAGCCAACAATATATTCTAAATGTGACTTACAAAATAGTTGTAAACATTTTTTCCTAACTATTTATCTCTTTTTCTATATATATAATATAGAAAATTTTACATTCTTATAATGAGAATTGTTATATATATATATATATATATATATATATATATATATATATATATATATATATATATATATATATATATATTATGAATCCCGTTTTACGTTTTACGATCTTTGTGGTCGCACTCCTCCAAAACAGCTCGACCGATTTTTATGTATATTTGGTAAGTATGAGAATACTTCAAACCGTTAGGTGATTAGGGTATTAATTTATATGGCAGAGAAACATTTGCCAGCTAGTTTGTGTATCATCATCACATCAGACTTTAACTGTCCACTGCTGAACATAAGCCTCCCCCTTGGGGGGTTTTGCCAGGAGTTGGCGAAGTCAGATTGGTATTAGCAGTTAGGCTTTAGAGATGTTTTAAGAGGGACACTGCTACTCATTCCTCACTTCCCCTTAGTCGCCTCTTACAATACTCACAGAAAAGGAAGGGGTGGCCTATTCTATGCCAAGACCTCACATCCATAGTTTGTGTATACTATATAAAATTTCAATAAAATTCTAACCAGTTATTCTTGGAGAATATAAAGAAACTGCTGCCCTCTGGTATTGGTTTCTCCTGACTTTTGATCTCCACTTCAGACAGTCGACGCGGTCGGGCCGATATGGTCGGTTGCCGTTTCAACGACTCAGGGTCTTCCTTTTTTACGTCTCCTGTGATTAAAACAGATAGAAATAGTATTAGAATAGAAATAATATTTCAATATTTTTTTTTTTTACTAAATTATCACAAATATATTCCATCGATAAAGAATAATAGTTATCTACTTATTCTCTATCTACACAGAAGATCTTATTTAAAAAAAAAACATAATGTCTATTAATGATCACATACACCTCAGACCATAGAATAAGGATAATGCCTTACTTAAATAAATAACTAAAGCGAAGAGTTTGCTTAACGATAAGGCCGCCTTTTAATACCACTTACTGTTTTTTTGTTGTTTTTTACTTGGTACAATCGTTAAAGTTTAAATACCGGCTATTTACAGTGAGGTTTTTTAAACAAGTATTGTTATTTAATTTGTTCTGTGTCACTCTTTTATAAAATGTCTTGCGGTTTATTCACTAAAATGAATATTTTATATTACAAATACATATATGTTTTAATAATGCATTTTGTTGTTTACATCAGCAATGAAGTGTAAAATAAATAAATAAATAAGGCACACACACGCAAGCACGTATGCACGTACCCACACACGCACGCACGCACGCACAACCTAATTATAGATTTATGTTTATTTTCAATAATAAAAAGAAGACAATATGAAATTTGACATTGCCAAGTACTCTATTACTGTTATCTCTGGCTAGATGTTAAATTAGACTAGGCAAAGACAGAAATTTGTAATCTACAAATATTACTTCTTTTTTCTAATACTTTGCAGAGTTAGATATTAATGTAGCTAGTGTAAATTCCTATGAAGTCGACCTCTACGCAGTTTTTCTCGAAAATCACCATATTCAAGACTGGTAAAATAGGCACGATGGCACGACGATACCAACTGACCTGACTTTATCCTCGCCTAACATTCTTTACTGGTAGCTCGCCAGCGTACACCAATACCGCAGAGGTCTACCGTTCCATTTCATCCCTTTAATTTAGGTTTCTGTCTATTAGTTCTAATATATATCACAGTCTATTACTATCATTATTATTATTGTAAACAGAAAATAACGATTCTTTATTAAACAAACCGTTCTGTATTTTATCTATGGCAACGAGTGCTTCATCAGCATTATCCCTTTCTTCCGGTTCCTGCTCTTCCACATCCTCTTCAGAGCCCGTTTCTTCATATTCATGCTCTGATCTAAAATATTAAGTTTTGTATAAGTACAGTTACTAGACAGTCAAGTTGTTTTTTCATATTTTATTCTGAGATTAGTGTTTTTAAGATTTTTCAAAAATACAAAAAAAATCTATACTACTTATTAATTAAGATGAGTTTAAAAAAATAGTTAAAAGTTTAATGATCTCACCTGGCAACTCTTTTATATCTTTTGTATTTCCGGCTGCATGTAACCATTCAATTTATATAATATTTTATATATAAAAAACTACTATTACTAACTATATTAATCAATTCTTTCTTACAGCATTATTCTCTTACCCTTCACTGGAATATCCTTCTTCATCATTCACGTATTCATCATCAGTCTCCCCTCTCTCTTCATCTAATTGTGGATTGCCTGCTTCCGGATTATCAGCATCCTGATAGTAAGCAATTATTGCAAAATTATCGTTTCTATCGTTTTGTCAGATCACATACGGGATAAAATTAGTTATTAAGTGTGATATCTTTAACTGAACCAGCTTTCGGTGATTACAGTTTCGATTCCCGAAAAATATCATTTGTTTAGTATACAAATTATTTATCTGTGTAATATCAAGCCAGATGACAAAACAATGTTATGGACTGTCAAGATGATGACTTAACTAAAGAAGAAATCCTTACTAAGTAATTACTTTACAGAAAGTTATTAAACAAAAATGTATTTACCGCTTTGTCCTTTTCAATTTCTTCGGCGTCCATTTCTTCAGCATCACCTAAATTATCAACAGCGATAGCCAAGAAAACGTTCAGTAGAATATCTGACGCATTTGGTTCAGAAACATTATTTGAATAATGTGTGACAACAAACGACCTTTCTTTTGTATTATATATTTTTTTAACATTAGCTAAATGCTAATGTTAAATGTTAATCCAGAAAGCGCTATTCATTCATCATCAAGCATATCTACTTGTTTCAAACCAATTTCTCATTCGTGTTTCTAATTTCCACAATTAAGCAGTTGTTATTATATTAATCATGGCTGTTGTTTCGGTTTGAAAACGGGACAATGATATATAGCGTGAATTTACAGGCGTGCCGGCCGTACATTGAGGAATAACACGTCTGAGTCATTAAGAATATCAAGAAACGAATGAGAGAGTGATTGTTTAGTATATTGACAATTGAAACAGTATAAAGTATTTTTACATATTCTGTTATGTCCATGTCTATAGGCGACGGTTACCAATTTCCATAAGGTGGGCCGTCGGCTTGTTTGCCTATTAAAAGTTTAGTCATAAACACCCAGAGGAAGCCAACAATAAAAGTTTTACTGATATTTTTGTCAATATATACATCAAACAATTTTTAACTTAGACATTATCAAACTTGGTATTATCTTGTTATATAATCCATCGCAACTTTCTAATTCATTCACAATGAAAAACGGGTATTTGTTTTACCTTACACAGTGAAGATTAACAATGTAGAAATACATGCAAAGTAAGCAGACAATGTAAGATATTTAGGTCTGTACCTTATATTATAAAATTAAACAGTCAATTATATTGGCAAAAACATATTATTTGAATGACCAATATATACGCAAACAATTGGGTTTACAAATGCGAAAGCTCTCCTTCTGGTTATTAGGTCACCAGTCACAATTGTCTCTGAGCAATAAACTGCTTCTATACAAGACGGTACTAAAACCTATCTGGACCTATGGAATCCAGCTCTGGGGAACAGCGTCTCATTCCAAAGTCGAGATTTTCAATTAATCAAAATAAAATGCTGAATAGAATAATAACTAATGCTTTGATAAACTTTTGTCACAAACAAGGCCACAACTTACATCATGACCTAAAAATCATGGAACAATGTTAGATATAAGAAATACTACAATACACACAATCCTACAAGGAAGTTAACAAAACAGTGTTATAACAGACTTTTTTTAAGATCTTTATTATGACTTAGATATGGACGTAAATCACACAACTCGCAGACTGAAACGCAGAATACCCAGCAAGACATGATTCTATAAAATAAAGTAGGATGCGACTAAAGTGCAATACGATGGAGCACCACGCCATTAAAGTATAAATCAAAAATACTATTTATTGTCCCAGCAAGGAGACAGATCGTAGTATATACAAAGACAAAAAAAAAAAACTTTCTAATTTCCACAATTAAACTTGTATTTGATTAAATTAATCATATCTACTTCATGTAAAGTCTTTATTGATTATACATTACAAAAGGATACAATTACCACAAACGAAAATGACAATGAAATATATAGAGGCCAACATTCCAGGCGTGCCGGCGCCGCCGTACGCATTGATGCCTTCGTACATCACTACGTTCCAGTCTTCACCTGTTAGGATCTAAAATACATTAAGAATATCAAGAAACGAATGAGAGAGTGATTGTTTAGTATATTGACAATTGAAATGATAATAAAGTATTTTTATTTTTTCATATTCAGCCGTTAACTGTCCACTGCTGTACATGCCTTTTGCCAGTAACATTAGAATTCTACTAGTAGATACCATGCTTAGTAGGCAGGTTAGCAACCACAGTTAAGCTTTTAGAGATATTTTAAGAAGGACGCTGCTGCCTTTCCCTTCATTATTAAGTTACTTTAGTCGCCTCCAATACACCCAGAGGAAAGGAAGGAGCGGCTTATTTTATGCTGGGACTACACGGAATAAAAATTTTACTAATAATCAGTACATATCAACAGTCTAATACCATCTTGTACGAAGAAATCTGTCTGCAATAGTGAGACATTAATGAGTTACAGATTATGTTACACATATTATCTATTATTGATATAATATCAGTATTTTAAGTAGTACCCTATTGGACAATGATAGTTAGATCGACGGGTTGATTTGTTTTAACTTACACACTTATAAGATTAACACATGGATAATACATGCAAAGTAAGCAAAATCCTAGCATTAATGAAGAAAATTATAACTGTCGCTGTTAACAATTATATTATAAAATTAAACAGTCAATTATATTGGCAAATATAAATAGTTATTTGATTAAAATAATAAATAAAATAAACTATTTATTCGCAGTTTGGTTGCAGAACGGTAAATGCTAGGCTTCGAGCAGGGATCTAATAAATTTCCCTGAACATATCTCGTTTAGTGGTGAAACACGTGTCACAAAATGTGCGGAGATGAAATGAGTCGAAGATTGTACAACTTCTGCTAGTAATGGTGGTGGTCAATCTTCGAGGGTTGGCAGTCACGCACATACAAATGATAGCAGAATTAAACAAAAATAATACCAATCAAATAACCAGAGATATGGGACTTCCACAAGATGATAACTAATTTAGTAAAATACTATGAATTTTGTACTTATAAGAGCATATCCTGCCCAAAATGGGTTAAACAAACAGACAACAATAATTTAAAATCATAATTTAAATAAATTTACAATGTATACCTGAAACATTGTGAGTACTGCCTGCCAAAATGTATCGAAGTTATGTCTCTCCTTCACCTCTTCTGGCTTGTAATCAAACCTGCCACCGAAGACTTGCATACCGAGTAATGCAAATATCATGATGAAAAGGAAAAGAAGCAATAAGAGGGAGAAGATGGACTGAATCGAGTTGAGCAGAGAAGCGACTAGGTTGGATAGAGAACGCCAGTACCTGAAAATTAACAATTCAATATGAGATAATGAAATTGAGTTCTCAAAAGTAAACTACGAAATTCTTCTACACAAGTATCTTTATCTCATTCATGTTTCTTTCGATAAGCAGCTATACTTTTTTTATACCACTGAGATGGCAAATAAGCATACGGCCCACCGAATGATAAACGATTACTATCAGTTAGTTTACTTAGTAATATGTTAATTTCATCTTCATTGTAGACTAACCTACTCACTGTCCACTATAAGATATAGGTACGATCCTGCGCCACTTGCATCCAGCAAACATATGAAAAGACGTGGGGTTGTTATCACGTGGATAATTTACAAGAGTGATACATGATAATGAAATTACAGAGCACAGAAACCTTAGTCCTTAGGAATGGCTCCAATGCGGGGTACCATGGACGTCGGAACGTACTCATATACAGAATATGATTTGTGATAAACTCAACATTATTGTTTCATGAGTACAAAAGCAAAATCACCTTATGAAATCTCCGAAATCACCCATGAGAGACATCATCAACTGTCAACAATCAAAGACATCGGCACGTATACTCTTGTTATTCCGTCACAACGATGATATTCAAATCTATGGCAACGGTCATACTTTCACCATCATACCGTGATCCGTCAGCTTGTTTACCATTCTAAGTTGCATAAAAATAGTGTTATGAAAATCCTATGGATTTTATAAATTTTTAAGATCTTTATCTAATGGTCATATTAGATATGGCGAAAGTAATTGAAGACACTTCACAGATTCACTTCGAGTCTCATCATATTAACTTACTTGGTGACTTTGAAGACTCTCAGCAAGCGGACACACCTAAGTACAGAGATACCCAACTGCGGGATAGTGTCAGTTAGATTCAGTGCCAATTCCACGATGGAGCACACCATGACGAAACAGTCAAATCGATTGAAGAGGGAAACGAAGTAACCCTGAAAGATAGAACGATTTGTTTGAAAATTGTCACAATATTGTATATCGCTCTAAACGCTGACATTGATGCTACTTTTCACTTTGGGTTTTCTGAAGGAGAACTTTTTACAGTTAAGCTCGCCTTTATACATTTACTTACCTCTGTCATATTTTTGTGTACTGTTGATGTGTACAATAAAGTATAAATAAATAAATTAATTAATAATGCTGAACTTTAGTTACATAGTGAAATCAAATTAAATAACAATAGAAATAAATCGTGTCTTATAATTAGGAAAGCTGACTGAAAAGGCGAAGCAGAAGAAGAAAGAGAAGAAAAAGTAACGAAACTAATAAATGAAGTAATATAAACTTTTGGAGAAAATAATAAACAATAGGAGCCTATCAATCTATCTGATAATTAAAATCAAATAGTAATGAAATAAAAGGACTAAATACTTAATAAAATTAAAGAAATTAGAATTTGGTTGCATGAATGCTTGCACAGTCTTTCTCGTGTATGTAGTTATTTGTAATTATATATTTAATTTCAATATTACTTCAGCATTATACCATGTCTAAAATACTTAATTCTAATAAACTAATCTTCCATTCTATTTACGTTTCAGTTTTAAGAAGATATAGCAGTGAAAGTACAGGAGTACGTAGAAAACTATATATATTTCTCAGAAATAGCAACTCATGAATGGTACAGCGTCACAGTGAATTATGTGGCTTTAAAGATACTGCTCACGCCGGTATATATAGGTGACGGTTACTACTTTGCATCAGTTGGCCACACAGCTTGTTTCCAATTGTAAATATCATACAAAAAAGACATCACCATCTCAGTCACTATCTCTCCACTGCTGAACATAGGCCACCTACATAGACTGCCATAAGGAACGGCCTTGAGTCACTTGCATCCACTGACTCCCTGCAATACATTTGAAATCGTCACTCTATCTAGAGAGGCGTCGTCCTATATTGCATTTACCCGTACTGGGTCTCCACTTAAGACCTTTCTTCCCCATCAGTTATCGGTTCTTCAAGCTATGTGACCGGCCTATTGTCACTTCAGCTTGCTTATTCATCGGGCTATGTCGGTGACTTTAGTTCTTTTGCGGATATCCTCATTTCAGATTCTGTCACGCAAAGGAGCATAGCCTTCTCCATAGGCCGCTGAGTAGACAAATGATAATTAGATCTTTCTGATAAGCAACAATTACCTGGAAACCTAACGCGTACATCTTGACCAACATCTCCATAGTGAAAAGTACGACGAAGAGATAGTTTGCATAGTTTTGGAAATCATCCAACCAGACTGGTTGACTGCAAAAAGAAATACATTCCTTAATATTTAATAATTATTAGAAGGTATTTTTATAAGAAAGTTACAGTTAAAATTGACAATCAAGAAGTGAGTGTACATAATAAAACAATATATAAAGACGAATGAATGATAAAAAAGCTATAGCTTTATATATACAAGTATATTTTTAAATTAAACAATAATTTAACTTCTTTTCCAAAACAAATTAATTTAAAATTTAAAAATCATTAAAATGGAATTATAATTATATCGAATAATTAAAAAAAAAATTGAGAATTCTAGTAAATTGAAGACGTTTTTGAAAATAACGAAAATAGAACAAATATCGTACTCACTTAAAATGTTCGGTAGCCAGTACAAGTGTGTTCAGGAAAACCAGAACAATGATTGCCCAATAAAATGATTGTGACTTGACAGCTTTCCTACAAGCTCTGCGCATACGTCTATTCACCTGCAATGTTGATATTATATTACGTTGATTTGTGATATTAAAATTACATATATATCGGTCACGCCTGAAATTAAATTAAATGGAATGAAATAGAATGAAATCTAATTAAATGGAAGGAAATGAAATATTTATTTTCTTTAGACAGACAAAAGGTGATATGACAGTGGCATTTTAGCATCTGTTTAATTGTCTTATAATTGTAGGCGTTCAAATTGTATTAATTAAATAAGAATATAGCACTAATGTTGATGATTATAAAGATTATAGGATAATCTTACATTTTATTTTTATTTTATTACATTTTACATCTTATAGGACAAGATTTCATTTTTAATTTATTGTAGTTTATGTAAATATTTATTTTAATTTCTATTTTGCATTACAGTTGCCCATTCACTACTTCTTATGCCACTGTGTTAGGTTAATTGGAAGCAAATATTAATATTTCTTTATAATATCCATCTCTTTTTTCTGTGTTCGCTTCCTCTTTTTACATAATAATGACTTTTTAATTAAAATAAAAAAAGATTTTTATATTTTCTTTAAATATCTAAACATCGTTATTATTTTTAAAAGTTTTGTAAGTACACATTATGTATTTTAATATAATAACTACCGGTTTAACTTGCGTGTAATTAGATCGAGAAAGCTCGACTAGTTTCGGGATCAATTCGTAATCCTTAATCATGAGTGTCTGTGACGTGAACGCGAATCTGATTTATTATAATTACAAATAAGTGATGTAATCAGGGACCTAGAGTGTTACCTTGTCGAACCTCTTGCAATACACTTTACACGTCGTAGTGTGAGTTTGTTCGCCGTTCACGTTCACATTGTTTTGAGAGCCATCATTACTTTTTACATCGTTTTTACCTGTAAATAGTAATAAAAAGTAAATACCCTAATGTCTTGGAACAGTAGTTTTCGTTGTCATTCGATAATAACTGAAATTTGTGTCCCACAAAAAATACTGACTTCAATTGTGACAAAACCAGTTATTTTGGTGCAAAAACTAAACTTGCTAAACCGATTTCGATAAAATTTCTTTGAAACCAATCTGTACTATCTTTTCAAATAAAAAAAATATCCAAATTGGTTTAGAACTGTCGGAGTTATTAGGTAGCAAACATTAAAAAACAACCGAATTGAACTTTCTTCTTTATGAAGTTGGTTGAAAATTTGTAATTTCCAATGAGATACCTTGTAGAAAGGTTATTGCATACATACATACATATCTGTCACGCCTGTCTCCCATTAGGGTAGGCAGAAACAATGAAATGCCAAATGCTCCGATTCAAACAAACCTCTTTCGCTTCTTCCACACTCATCAATCTTTCCATACACGCTCGCCGGTTACGGGTACTTTTAATTTGGCCCTTTTTCAGCATGTCGCCTATTTGGTCGACGTACGTCCATTTAGGGTTATTTGCATTGGTAGTACTATTACATTCATGTTTCTGAATGGCAGTTTGAAAGGTGAAGCAGTGAAATTACAAAATGCCGAAGCATAAGACTTTAGTCTTCAGGAATAGCATTAACAAAGGCAACCATCAGTCACAGCGTATTCTATGATATCCATGACGGCCATCATGTCTATAGGCAATGATTAATACTTCATCAGGTGGACCGTCAACCTGTTCATATAATATATAATAGAATCTTAGATTATATAGATAGAGCATCGAGCCTCAAAATTGGGTCAACTTTTGTCAGCTAATTGTCAAATTAGTTGACTCGTTTTTTTTGTCAGTATTCTATATATTTACAGATAAAATGTATTTTGGTGTATTATTTAATAAATAAAATGAATGTTTATGCATTAAAAAGATGCAGAATTTATAAGACAAAATAAATATAGAAGTTATAAAGGAATCACTCATAACTATTTGTCACGCAAAATTGTATGAAAAAGTTGAACCGTTTTTCTCGAAACATTTCTGTGGACATACTTTATCTATATAATCTAAGAATAGCATATTTTATAAAAAAAAATCTGACTCACCCTGTGAATCTTGACTCTCCTCCTTCTGCGTAGGATCATTTTCTAAATCCAATTCCTCTGCAACTGTGATCCAGTTCAAATAACCTTTAAGATCTTCTTCAAACTGTTGTCTCTCCCGAGACTTCTGGAAGTCACCGCGACTTTTCGCTTTTTCTCTTTCTTTTGAGAATTCACTAAAAATATATAATAAAAGACTATCTTATTGTGCACTAATTAAAATATAAAGTATTATTTAGTTCAGCATTAATTTTATCATCATTATATCAGACTTTAACTGTCCACTGCTGAACACAAGCCTCCCCCTTCGGAGGTTTTGCTAGTATTTGCTACGCTTGGAAGACGGATTGGCAACCGCAGTTAGGCTTTAGAGATGTTTTAATAATGATACTGCTGCTCATCCCTCTCCGTCCCTTGGTTGCTTTTTACGACACGGGAAAGGAAGGGGTGACCTATTCTATGCCGGGACCACACGGCCAATATAAATTACATATATATACAAATCAAAAATATTAAAAACTGTAATTGGATTTTCTTTATTTTTGTTCAGCATAGAGTTATGGCCGACATGACAAAGATCATATAATGCAAGAAACTTATTATATTGAACATATATTACATTATAAACTTTTTGTTCCCAAAATATGTAGTACATCAATAAAGTTAATATACAATTTCTTAAATACTAATACTAATTATAAGTAATCTCCCAAGGCACCACACCGAGGCAGCGTACCCAAGATACTGGCAGCATTACCTCTTTGGATTGCCAAACGTATCTTTTGGGCAAAGTAGCTACCAGCTCTCGGGTCACTAGTAACCAGTCGATGAGGCGCGCTGCGATCCAAAATATATAACTACTATCTATATATTTTGTTCCCAAAATATATAAGATAAATATATACTTACCCAGACAAGACACCGAGAATTAAGTTCATGACAAAGAAGTTACCGAAGATCACCATTGATACAAAATAGATCCATGGCCACGTGTTGCCTTTCACATCCGCTATCTGCAAGAAATATTATCATCACCCTTATCATCATATCAGGCTTTAACCGTCCACTGCGGAACATAGGCCTCTCACATAAGAGTACATTTTTCCAGTAGTTGCCACGCTTGGGAGGCGTTGCAGGCAGACTTTGGAAATGTTTTAAGAGAGACGCTGCTGCCTATCTCTCGACCATTAAATTCTCTTAGTCGCCTACAATAATTTTTATATGAACAATGATTTTAGTTATTGGAGTCTGTAGAACTTCTTTAAGATTCGTTTAAAGTAGTACTTTACAACTGAAAGTAAACATTTATCCCAAAGAGACATAATTCGAAAAATTACTAAATATTTTTAGTTTTCCAACACAGTACACCCAGGTATTAAGTTAGTATGGGAAGATTTTACCAGAGGGAGACTTTGTACAAAAGTCGTTTGCTTGGGCACCTCTATCCCATTCATGTTTCTACCGTGAAGCAGTTGAGTTAACATGACTGTGTTAACTGGCATGACTTAATAATAAAATCTAAATCTTTAAGAATTTTAATTATATATATGACTAGCGGCCCGTCCCGGCTTCGCACGGGTGGACATTTTTACAACATTTTAAAAAGTGATTATTGTGACAACGATAATACTTGGACATATAGTATCGTGAAGTTTTTTGTAGTTATTGATATTTTCTTCAATATTGTACAACATACTTTTGTTCTATCACCAATAGTTTCCGCAGCGCACGCGACACAAGATATTTTATAGCATTTTTTTACACTTTGAGTTACGTTACTAAAATATTAGTAAGGATCCTTAATTTTTTCTAGCAATAAATATAGCCTATGTTACTCAGAGTGAATGTAGCTTTCCAATGGTGAATGAATTTTTTAAATCGGCAAAGTAGTCTTTGCATTTATTCATTACAAACACACATACATACAAAAATACAAATCTTTCCTCTTTATAATATTATTGTAGATACACAAAGATAATAAGTTTATACCCACGAGAAATGAAAGGGTGGCCTTATCTATGCCGAAGCCACACGGCAAGAAAACACTTTAGTCTCTAATAAATACTTACAGCATACATAATGTCAGTCCATCCCTCGAGGGTGATGCATTGGAACACAGTGAGCATGGAGTAGCCAATGTTATCGAAGTTGGTGATACCGTCGTTGGGCCCCTCCCAGTGGCCCCTACAGATGTAGCCATCGTCACACTTATAACCTGTTTCCCCATCGCTGTTGCACGGAATTTGTGGATCTATCATTTCATCTGGAAAAAATCATATTTCTTTATTAAACTTAAACTGAAAACTTTAAACTCTTAAAATGTATGTTTGTTTTTGGTCATCTTTAAAATTTTGTTAAACTTTGGTGCAAATAATACTAATCACAAAAAAATTAACAAATGAATTACTGTGAATAATAATATTAGATAGCTTTCGCGTTAGAAGCCTATTTGAATTATTTGCATTGTTCAAGATACTATTGCCACTTCTGCATATATCAAATACTGGCTGCATCCCGCGCCTTATATCGTGTTTCTATCATGATTTGAAATCCAAGTGATAATTCCAGAGATCTTCAAAATCTCTTTCTTTCTCTCTCTCTCTCTCTCTCTCTCCCTCTCTTTCTTTATTCTACTCGTATTAGTCTATAGAAGCTCTTCTTATTTATACCAATGTAAGAAAGGAGAAGAATTTGTTTCTTTGTATGAACACACTTATCTCTGCAACTATCAATCGAATTTCAAGAATTCTTTTTGCATTTCATAGCTCATTACTTGAGAAAGGAAGGCAAAGGCGTGGGAAAAAATAGTTATTGTTTAAAAAGTACCTGTGTCATTTTTGAAGCAGGTCTCGTGAAGGGCGCCAGAGAATAACTCCAGGCCGATGATCGCGTAAATGATAATGACGAACAGCACCAGGAAGGCTATGTGGAACAGCGGCACCATTGCTTTGAGGATAGAATTCAACACGATTTGTAAACCTGGAACATATAACAACAGAATATCAGTGTTTTGCTCTTTTGAAGGCAAAGCAATAAACTGAGTTGTGACCATTTTGTGTTACTGTGGCACACGCATGAACGAGGGAAAGTTGTTTTTTGTTTTGTTTTTCATTCTTTTATCTCTTTCTAGTGTGTATGTCTGTACTATATGCATGTTTGTATTATTATTTGTGTGCTGTAAGTAATGCAAATAAATTATCTATCTATCTATTTAACAATTTGAGTAAAGTTTTCTCAGTTTGAACGCCGGACGATTAACGCCATATTCTAAATGAAGGGAATATTTGGAGTCATCGTCAACATTCTACGTGTTCTATCGCTTGTACAACTGATTGTGCTTAGAGAAATTGTTCAATATAATGCCCATGCCCACAGCCATCTACCATCGTACTGCACGCCATCGACAGGAAGTTCACCTCATCCCTTAGCCTTGATGGTCGCATACAGTGCAGTTTCCAAGATGTTTCCTCCCACGAAAACTCAGATTATAAAATGAGCTCCCTGTCGAGGTTTTTCTAAAGAAACTACAGCATAGAGTTCTTCAAAAAAGGGATAAAGAGGTTTCTTTAGGATCAGCAACTGCGGGTAATACCCTTGGTATTGCAGGCGTTCATACGACTACGGTAACCGCTTATTATCTTTAGGGTGGCAGTTTTTTTTTTTATGGGTGAAAATGGTATGGTAACCCCGCCTGCGCTAACGGGATACGCTGGCGGAGCACCAGTAAAAGGTGATAGATGAGAATGAAAACAGGCCAGTTAGCCCATCATGATGAATTCATCAGGAATTAACCATGATAGTTTCCAGGGAGAACCGCGAGTAGGTCGACCTAGTTGGGTATATTGCTAGCAATGGGATTCTCAGTCTCTATTACTAACAATCCCTTTCCCCCTCTTAGGTGGACAGTATACTTGTTTGCCACCTCAGTGGTAAAAAAAAAATTAAGTTTGTACATTGGAAACTCAAAATTTTTGTTAAAAAAAAAGTAACGCTTATGATAATTATGATTCTAATTTTCTAAGAATCCTCGTCGATTTTAAAAGAAATGATACATTAGTAACGATTAAGGAATGATACCGGATTTACTCGTATCATGAAAAGAAACCGGTTTTACGATATTAAACCGGCTTGTTCTTGATAAAGTTGGCACTTTATACTTTAGTAATAATAGAGTAAATAAATTTATTACTAACTTGGCACACCGGAGACCAGCCGAAGTGGTCGAAGCACTCTGAAAGCTCTCAAAGCCTTCACGTCAAACGCATCCTTGGAAATATACTGCAGCGCCTGACTCGCTATACTATTGAAAAAAATAAAAAATATTTAGAGTAAACAGAAAACAAACAATCATACAAATAACCATAAATTTTTCGAGTAATTTAAAATCCTTTGAAATAGCAACGCATAAGTACCTACCATGGGAGTCACAGTGTATCCTGTGTCTCAGAAAATTTTCAAATTTTTAAATAAAATAGCGCGTTTAGTAATTACAAATGCCCTAACAAATTGCAATCCGTGAGCGCTACAGTGGACATCACAGTGTATTTAGTACATTAGATTAAAAATTCTTGAATTCGGGACACGGAGTTATGTCATCTACCTACATCATCGCGCCAACGATTAACTGTCCACTGCTGAACATAGGTTTGCCCATAAAGTACCTTTGGTATTTCCCATTGAGGGTTTTACCAGTAATTGCCAAACTTGGCAGGCGGGTTCACAACAAAAGTTAGACTTATGCTTTTGCTGATGATTTATGAAGAGCGCTGCGGCCCATCCCTCGACCATTAAGTTCCCTTAGTCACGAGTAAGGAAAGGATGGCCCCTAAGCCGGTACCACACGGAATAATGTACCGATAAAGAAATTTTGCTTTGCAACTAGCAATGTTCATCTTTCATTCAATTAATATTTATTTTATTTATTTATTTGTTTAGGTAAGTCAACTATACAAATACATATATTTACAACGTACATTAAAAAACGAAATATAATAATATAATTATAGACATGCACAACATTGACATAAAAAAAGGTTTATAGAAATAAAAAATTAAAATATGGAACCAACATAGGAATAAACTCTATGAACTGCAACATGAATCATTAAAATCGGACGAACTGAGAACGTCCTATATTCGGAAGTATTCATTTATACTTTATTGTACACAAAAATTACATAGTCATATGTTATTAAACTAAACGATTACTTGAATGACGAGTGTGCATGGCAATAGTTGTTCATGCACTGAATTTTCATTTAATGTTAGACATAGACACCTATATAAATATACATTGTAAATAAACTGGCTTTAAAAAAAAAAGTAATTCAATTGAGTTTCTTGCCAGTTCTTCTCAATTGGATCTATATACCGAACTGGACGGTAGGGTAAATATAAAATTATAATGTAAAAATTTGACGTTCATAAGCGGCTAAAATGTCCTACATGAATAAATGATTTTTGAATTTGAATTTGAATTTGAATTTGAATATATTAAACAAAGATGTACAACAGGCGAGCTTAACTCTGTAAGAGTTCTCTTCCAGCAAACCCTGAGTGGAAAGAAGCATTAATTTTTTTGACTTATTTATTCTTTTTAAGTTTTAATATTTGCATGCCTACTTATGGCGAAATATACTTATTGTAACATATATATACTTACCATGTTTCTTGTAAATAAATAAATAAAAATAAAATTAATTGCCGGCGGGCAATGTACGTTACAGGTTCCTCAATAGTTACTATATCTCATAATATTTACCATAGTTTTGTATATATATATACATATAAGTTTAAATTTAAATATTATAAGTAGTATTTATGTGTTATATGTGTATTTCTTATGTATTACTATGTATAATTATTTCAGTATGTTGATACAATTATGTCACATATTTTTCACCACATCTGCCCTTCATACGCTTTCTGTTTTTACCTAACGGTTAGCTGGTAGAGAATGCCATATGGCGTTAAGCTCGCCACTTGTACAAAGTTTTATTGTGCAATAAAGAATAAATAAAATAAATAGAGAAAACAGTATAGTTCTAGTACTTATAAAAAAAAATCTTAAAAATATATAAACTTGATAAATATCTCATTCATAAAAAGTAAGAAACGTAAAACATTTTGGTTTTCAGAAACCTAGATGAATTAAATGAGCAGGTAATATTAGTTTACGTTCTTGCCATGTAAACCGCGCCATTACGCTGTTATTTTTAAAATCTATACACGGCCAGGGAAATTTATATCTTTTTTTTAAGAATCTTGTTCTATAAGTGTTAACAGTGGGTAATATTTTGTAACAGAATATGCGTTGTTTACTTATAGTGTGACAATGAACAGAATTTGTTATTCTTGACGCGTTTAAAAAACCTTTTTTTTTATGCAACTTATTATGGCAAACAAGCTGACGGCCCACCTGATGGAAATTGGTAACCGTTGCCTATACACATGAATAGTAAATGAATATTACAGGACAGATGCAACTGTTGTCATTTCTGAAGACTATAAGGTACCCCATAATTTCACTGCCTTATTCCACTCTTTAAATCGAAACACAGCCATGCAAGTACAGCTGCTTCTCGGCAAAAATACGAGTGGAACAGAAGTACCAATGCAGATGGCTTTTATACAAAATCTCTCTCTGGTTTATTAGAAAATAAATAAAAAAACCGGCGTGTAGTCCCGCCATAGAATTGGCCACCTCTTCCTTTCCCGTGGGTGTCCTAAAAGGCAACTAATGGAACTTAACGGTTAAGGGGTGAGCAGTAGCATCCCTCTAAAAACATCACCAAAGCCTGCACTGCAGTTTTTTTTTTAATGGGTGAAAATGGATTGGTAACCCCGCCCGCGCTATTGGTATACACCGACGAGGCACCAGTGGAAGATGATAGGTGGGAATGAATGCAGGTTAGTTGGCCCACCATGAGGAATTCGACTAGAATTAAACATGATGGTTTCCAAGGGGAACCGCGTGGAGGTCAACCTGAGACGGTATGTTGCCAGTAATGGGGCTATTAGACCCTATTAGAGATTACTAACAATCCCTTCCCCTCCAGCCTAACTGCAGTTACTAATCCGCCTACCAAGCGTAACAACTACTAGCAATATCCTCACAATGGCAAAGACAGTCTATGGGAGAGATTTATATTCAGCTGTGGCTGAGATAATGATGATGATCAGCCGTTGAGACATGAAGATGAAATAAAAATTTATTTGTACGCCTAATAATATTGAGAAATATTAGCCATAATAGCCAAGTTATTTTCTAAGTATAATTGCTGTCTAATTTCCATGCAATTTTTAATTTCGAGTCTTCAAAAAGTTGATGTCACCAGAAATTATTTTATAAAATGCTTCTTTTATATTTCGCATCGGCTTGTCTAGGGAATCGAAGTTGAACAGTTGAAAGGTCCATCGAAGTTGGACGAGGGTCTTGCTTGACCCATTTACAAGTAACTGGACATCATTTCAAACAAGGAATCGTCTGAAATGATACCTACAGGTATTTTTACCATCACACCGGTCACCATCGACAGAGAATTCATCCTTACACGCTTGAAGCTAAATAATCAAGTACAGTGCAGTTTTAAAGGAATTTTCTCCAGCGAACGCTCAAGCTGTGTAATGAGGTCCTTGCCGAGGTTTGCCCAAGAGACTATTTTTGGGGGTTTTCAAAAAGGGTATATTAAAGTTTCTTCAGGGTCGGGAATACACACGTGACTCCCCTAGTATTGCAGACGTTCATAAACTACAGTCCCCGTTTACCATTAGACAGGCTGTATGCTTGTTTATCACTTTCGTGGTATTTCTAAAAAAATAAAATAAAAAAAAGCTGAGCTTAATAATTTTATAAAATTATGTAATTAAATACTTATATTTATTCAAATAATTGATTAATGTTTGACAAAATTCAACTTACCCAATAGTGACTATCGTAAAATCCAAACTGTTCCATGTATTCCTCAAATACGCTCCTGGGTGGAACAGGAACCCATAAGCTATGATCTTCATGAAACATTCTCCCGTGAATATTACCATAAATATCCACTCTACTTTTTCCTGTAAAAAAGAAAAACAAATACAGATCTGAAGAAATCTCAATTTTTGAAAACGACAGATTTTACCTCTCTCTCTCTCTTTTACTCCCTTTTTAACACACAGATATAAAGTTAACAAAACAGTGATAGCATGCAACAGTGCCTGTAGATACCAGAGGAGATCTAAACTAAATTAACTAAACCGTAAATAGACCGTGTTCTATTCGACGTAAGAATCAAGAGTCTCCGGAACTAGCGAGCATGAGACGAGTTCGAGGGAAGGAAGGAAGGAAGGAAGAAAGAAATGTGCAGGAAACAAAAGATATATATAATAACAGAGAGCTAGATATTTTTAACTTTTTTATTTGGCACTCTGCCCTTGATGGAATAATTTTGTATTTATTGATAATACTTCTTGGATACAAAACCTTCGTAGTGCAAGTCTGACACAGAGTGTTTTTTTTTTAATTAACTAATAAATGTATAATGCAGTAAGACTATTAATAAAAAGAGATGAGAGCTTTGAGAAGAATGTGTGGTATTACATTAAAAGATAGAGTAAGAAACAGTGTGATTAGAGAGAAGTGTGGACTGAAAGACGATGTAGTGACAAAAATCGAAAAAGGAATGTTGCGTTGATTTAGCCGTTTAGAGAGGATGGATAAAAGAAGAATTACGAAAGAGATTTATCGAGCAAGAATGAATGGAGATGTCGGTAAAATTAAAAGTACCCGTAACCGGCGAGCGTATATGGAAAGATTGATGAATGTGGAAGAAGCGAAAGAGGTTTGTTTGAATCGAAGCATTTGGCGTTCCATTGTTGCCTACCCTAATAGGAGACAGGCGTGACAGATATGTATGTATGTATAATAAGTAATACATCAGGAATATAAAAAGAATGTCTACACAATAAATATTGATTAATTAATTAATTAATAGAAATTATTATTAGCCCCTCGAGCGTTTATGCATCATGCGCTGTACCGAACAAAAATGTAGTACCACGCGCTAATGCAACAACGTCTCTTGCTTAACTCGAATTTGCAACGTCATTTCCATGAAATTTATGTAGGTCATTAATTTATGTAGGTAATATACTCATTCATTCATTACCTCTAATCGAAATTTGATAATTTCAAAAATCTGTAACGTAGTAGGTGTAGCGAGCTAGCCTAGAGCCGATCGTTCCACGGTTTACAATAAAAATATAATAATAATAGTTTATATTAATATAATTTACTATCGACCCGCCCCGGCTTCGCACGGGTGCAATGCTAATACTAAATAGCGTCGCCGGCCCCCCATTACATTACAACATTACATTAGAAACCTCTAAAATTATCAGTGTTTCTCTACAATATTATGCATGTATTATATAATAAACCTTCCTCTTGAATCACTGTATCTATTAAAAAAAAACCGCTTCAAAATCGGTTGCGTAGTTTTAAAGATTTAAGCATACATAGGGACGGACAGACAGCGACAGCGACTTTGTTTTATACTATGTAGTTCACTACATGGATCCATGGATTATATTCAATTAAACAGATATTTATTTTATGACTAGCTTTAACATGTGGCCAGGATATGTTGACTAGCCGTGGTAAAAATGAGTTCTTTACGTCATATTATATTATATACCAAATTTCTTACTAATTAGTTCTTTTATACAACTTAGCAAACAAGCTGACGTCCCAGATGACGATAATACTGATGTTTAAGCAGGTAAGCTGCTATAAAATAACAATCAAGTAAAATTTCTCATTTACAATATTAGTAAAGATATGCTGTCATGATGCAAATAAAAATTTACTCATTCATTCATTCAATAAAACTTAATTATACTTACCAATATTTGATTAGTATTATTCGTATCCCCAAATGGATATGGCGTGAACACTGCTAGAGCTATACAATTGGCAAATATAGTCGTCAATATCATATATTCAAATGGTCTGGCATCATGCGAATTAAGGAAATTACATTGAAAAAAAAAGGTTCTATAAAGGAATCTTTAGCATAATAAGTACCTCAAACGCAAGTATAAATAACTTATACATTACAGACAACTCTTCTGCACTATTTGCATATGAAAACCTCGGATTATAATAAAAACATACAAACTTTAATATATATAGTCATACGTTTTTATCTTGCTATTTAATTTCTTTCTTTGTAATAACTCATTTAACAAAATGGCGCCAAAAGAAAAAAGATAGAATTGGCATGTTCTAAATTCAAATAAGACTATTTTTTCAGTACACCATTTGTATCATAGATTAAGTAAAGTGCCTGGATTTTATTTTGGCGCCTTCTCGTATCGTGTTTGTGTAGTTTGTTTTTTTTTTTATTTACTCTATATCTAGCAATCAGTGTTACCTACATTTTTGGTTATGATAGATATATTTGTAACAGCTGTCTGTTTATTTTTTTTTTCTTGTAACTACAAATGAAAATAAGCTCAAGGACCACCTGATGGAAAGTGCTAATTGCCAATAAACATGAACAGCATCATGTCATAGCGTCATTATACTTTGTCCTCGAGGACTAAGGTGTTATATTTAAAAGGATACTTCCACTCCACAATATCATAACATAACTTCCTAAACGGGTTCTCCAGCCCTAAACATAGCAAGCTTCTCTTGGGTCGTTCTGGTTGCGGCTTGCCTCTTGGTCGCGCCTGTTTGCGTGGGGCGGGGGTCACCGCCTGCGTGGGGTCCGCGGTGCTGTCCGCCCCGGGGGTCGTGGCCCCCGCCAGTTGCGCTTGTTCAGTCGCCATTTTGATCTGCAAAAAAAATGACTCTAGAGACTTCGATTTTGCAGTTGATCTAGATGGATAATTGACAAAAAATGTCCTAAAATATATATATTGTTATAGTGATTAATAAATTATATTTATTTGATATTTTTGTGCATTATAGGATTTTGTATTATGCACAAAAAATATGTTAATTCACTCTTGCGCTACCTACCCACTTCTATTTGTTCCCCTTTAACCAAAACTTTTACAAAATGTGTGTAACTATTTTATATGTATTTTATATATATTAATATTATACAGAATTAGAACATCTTACTTTACATTTAAATCTAGTACAATCGAGAAGAATGGCAAATAAAATAACAATTGAATCAACGCCAACACACACAATCTCGACGAAGTCCGAGGGGCGAGCGTTTACGTCTGTCGTAAAGTGGACGCAGTTCGTAAAACGAGGACATTAACATATTATTATTGGATCCTATTAATTGCCGTGTGGGCAGACACCATAGCCGTACAATAAATATAGTCTGCACGTGTCTCTCCTCGAAATAATATTTCTTCCACAGAAAAAAAAGCAGAATTCAATTATATATATATGTACCTAATACTAGGATATATATTCATAATTATAGGCACAAGGAAAACAAACTATCATAAAATAAATAATTATATAAATACATAAATAAAGAATGGCAATGTTTGCAATGAAGAAACAATCAGATAGAGAAAAGATAATCTTTCACTTGTCGTTTGAAAGCATCGATGGATTTTGTACTTCTAATGACAACAGGCAATGAATTCCATAACTCTATGCTAGAAAGATTCATTATGGGACCAGAGGGCCTACCACGAAATATTTTCCGAAATTTCGGGGACGAACGAAATAGAAATTTGATGTTAAATTACATAATACATGCCGTTTAAAATTTTTAAAAATATTAAAATATCGTTCCTCTGGACTAATTAGGATAGGATTTATGATGAATGAAACGTTAAGCTCCATTTACTGGGTCGATTTAGGTACGAACAAAGACGCGAAATTGAGTCCGAAAATTTGAAATTGCATTTCATGGTAGGCCCCCAGTATATAGTTATTGTAACTATAATATATAGATGCTATATATTATATTACCCACTGCTATACTATACTTGTTAACTTTATTTCTATGCCATAAAGCTGTACAAGTAATTTTTTTTTATACAACTTAGAATGGCAAGCAAGCTGACGGCCCACCTGATGAAAAGTGGTAACCGTCGCCTATACACATGAGCAGTACCATGCACATAACAGAATACACTGTTTAGCCCATGATATCCCCATGCGTTGGCATTCCTGAGGACTCAGGTGTTATTCCTCTGTACCCTGTAAATTCACGCCATATCCCACCCTTCAAACCGAAACACAGCTATAAAAACACAACTGCTTCACGGTTGAAACACGAATGGGATAGAGGTACCCAAGTAATCGACTTTTGTACAAAGTCTCCCCCTGGTAATATCTCATAAATAATGTATGAATATTTCAATAACACAATTTGCGTTTTTATTGAGGGCATATAATGATTATCACGGAGCAGAGATTGGAGGACTATATTTTTAACCGACTTCTAAAAATGAGGGAGTTCTCAGTTTGATATATTTAGAATTAACATCTAGGTGCTATAAATATTAAGAACAAGTAATTAAAAAAATATTTAAAGATAAAAAATTTCTTTGAGATCGCTGCCAGCTGGTAGGGTGCCTAGGATACTTGCTGCGTTTCCACGCTTGAATAGCAATGGAAATGCGTTGACCAAAGTATAGGCCAGCCTTCTGGTCACCAGAGGTTTCCACCAGCCGTTTCCTTTTTATATTTGCAACTATCGTTCTCAAAACTCTTTAAGCTATGGACAAATAGAAAATTCTTTTTTTTTTTATATCTAAAAAAGGATATTTTTTCTAGATTATTCCATAGACATTTTGTCAACGTTTTCTGTTCATTAGTTTAGTTTTTAAATCAAAATCACAGATATTGCTATTTTTGAAGTCGGTTTTTTTTCATAGAACACAATCTTGGATCTTTGGCGAATTATTTGCATAGACAGTTTTGCCAGAGACAGAGTTTTACCAGAGAGAGACTTTGTACAAAAGTCGTTTGCTTGTGTACCTCTGTCTCATACGTGATTCAACCGTGAAGCAGCTGTGTTTGCATGATTTGAAGGGCGTGAATTTACAAGGTACAGAGGAATAACACCTGAGTCCTCAGGAATGGCAACGCATGGGGGGTATCATGGGCGAAACAGTATACTCTGTTATGTCCATGGTATTGCTCATATGTATAGGCGACGATTACCACTTTCCATCAGGTGGGCCGTCAGCTTGTTTGCCATTTTAAATTGTAAAAAAAGACACTCCATCTATATAATTTAAGTCTATGATATTAACATCCTTCTAGATAGAGCGTCGAGTCAAATATTATCAATATGATCACAATGTTCAATCAATAAATGTTTCGTTCATTAATAAATGCATTTATTTTGGCATTAGCTGACATTTAACACTTTCCATCAGGTGGGCTGTCAGCTTGTTTGCCATTCTAAGTTGTATAAAAATAAATTTTTTTTTTAAATAAACCTCCTCCTATTTTAAAGTCGATTAATAATAGTTTCCGATTCTCCCTCCAGCGAAAATTTTAATTTTTTCACTGCACCGGTTAAAAATAATGATCCATTCACATGTCTGTGATCATTTCTTGTAATTGTTTATATTTATAATAAGTTTACTATTGTAATTTAGAACTTTCATCGTGCCTCCGATCAAACTGTTTATAATTACTCCTCTCCATCCAAAGGTTGCCTGCAAGAGATCGCTCTTAGCGATAAGGTCGCCCATTGTTTTCTCATTGTAATTATTTCTTGTAATTGTTTATATCTATAATAAGTTTACTATTGTAATCTTTTGGAGGAAACAATAAAGAGTATCTATCTATCTATCTATCTATTTATTGAAGAATATTCTTTTGCACATACACAATTTGGCAGTGGACAGAGTGTTATCTAAATCGATAATATCTTTGGCGAGCATCCGAGGTGAAGGACACGAAGCCGCAACAAAACCAGATAATGGAATGAACGAGCTCACACGAAATATAACTGTATGAGGGGTAACATGGGCGTCACAGTATATTCTTTATAGTTTGTGACGGTTATTACATTGAAGCAGATGGGCCGTCAGCTTATTTGGCATTTTAAGTATCATAAATTTTTTTTAATAAATAGTCTATGGTGGATACCTACGTTTAACAATGGGTAAATAATAGCTAATGTGATGATGAAAATGATCAAATCATCATTTCAGCCATTATCCGTCCACTGCTGGGCATAAGCCTCACCCATAGACTGCCATAAAGAGCGGTCCTGAGCCACCTGCATCCACTGACTCCCTGCAATATATTTCAGGTCGTCACTCCATCTAGTGGGGGCTCGTCCTACACTGCGTTTGCCTGTACGGGGTCGCCACTCAAGAAACTTTCTTCCCCATCGATTATCAATTCTTCAAGCTATGTAACTTTTTATAGGTTTGTTTGTATAAATTTTTTACAGTTTTAATAAATTTATTGTTATTTTATGCGTTACTCTAAAACAGCGGTTTCTTAGATTCTCAATCTTGATACCATAGTGGGAACTGATAGCCCTATTGCCAGCAATATACCTTAAAATATCCACCTCTACGTAGGCCACAAGAAACCATCGTAGCTAATAACCAGTGAATTTGTCACGATGAGTCAACTTCCCTGACCTCATCTCTCATTGGTGCCCCACCAGTGTACACCAACAGCATAGACAATATTACCATTCCATTATCATCTATAAATAAACATCTTGGTACCTCTGTGCCCTAGAGAATCCGAGCTCACCGACCGAGAAAAGTGAGTCGCCCACAATGTTGTCGGCCCACATTTTTGTCGCTCCGTTTATCCCTATTTTCCCGTATATTAAATAAACATAATGTAGTATCCAAAGGTTGCCTGGAAGAGATCGCTCTTAGCGATAAGGTCGCCCATTGTTTTCTCATTGTGATTATTTCTTGTAATTATTTATATTTATAATAAGTTTACTATTGTAATCTTTTGGAGGAAACAATAAAGAGTATCTATCTATCTATCTATCTTCTATACTGTAGACACAACTCATGTCTGAACCATTGCTCGACATATACACATAGGTTATTTTAATCATTTTTATACCTTTTTATTCTTCCACGCACAACCATTCTTTGGAATCAACTTCCAGCAGCAGTATTTCCGAACCGATACGACATCATAACCTTCAAGAAAAGAGTATATCCCTTTTTAAAAGGCCGGCAGCACACCTGCAATGCCGCTGGTGTTGTTGGTGATCATAGGCGGCGGTAGTCACTTACCATCAGGTGAGCCGCATGCTTGTTTGCCCTGTGTTATAAAAAAAAAATATGAAATATTTGCATATCGTTCGAGTCGTTCATTCACAATGTTGATTGAACGAATGATTCATTTATTACTCTTTATCGTTCTATTTAAAGAATGATACAGATTATAAATGTTAACAATATGCACACAAAAAAAATACTGTATGGCCCCGGAATAGAATGGGCTACTCCTTGCTTTTTGTATAGACGAGAGAATGATCCAGGAATAAAATGGGTGGCCCATTCCTTCCTTTTTTTATAGACGAGAGAAGGGCAGCAACGTCTCTTTTAAAACATCACCAGAAGCCTAACTTGGGTTACCAAACCTACTGCCAAGTGTGGCAACTACTGGCAAAACTCCCTTTATGGGGGTAGGCCTATGTTCAGCAGTGGATAGTTAACAGCTAATATGATAAAAAAAATATTAATACTTAATAAAGATTTATTTATTTTTTATTGAATTATATTGTAAATAAAGTCGACTTCAAATTTGGTATTGTAACAGTATTTGTAATGCCAAAGAACGTAGGTTACATTTTCATCGTAATCAATTAATATATTCCAATAAAACATACGAAGTCGAAGGAAGAAGCTAG